AGATGATTAACCTCCAGAGCATGTATTATACACCCCCCCCCCCGCCCCTTGCAGACAATCACGGAAATCCTAATTTCAGAACTTATCCTTTCCCAACCTTGGTTATCTTGATACCAATTCCATTCTATATATATATATATATATATAATTATTGTCATCTCTGTCTAAATATACAATGTATTAACACCTCCGATTCCATTCTATAAACCATTTTGGAACAGAATGGATTTTCTACACTATCCTTTAGTGGCAACATCCCCCCCCCCTCTTTATTTATATATATGTTAACTCATCTCCTTATCCTTTAAGGGAATCTGACTGTGAGCAAACTTCTGTTATTTCACAAATCGGCCTACATTAGAGTTGATTTAGGATCAAGATAGCTGCAAAATCCTTGAAAACCCAAACGGCAATAGATGGCTTTAAAAAGGGGGTGAATTGGCTCGAAAGGGAAGTCAATTTATTGATTTCGCATTGGCTTGCAAACCAAGGTTACCCAGTGACGCATTTTTTTTCTTTTACTCTTAAAATGTGTACAAAAGTTGGCACAACTGGAATGAACACAATCGACCTAGAAGTAGAAGCTTTTTATCTTAGAAGTTGATATATTAATATCTACAGTATATACACACAAAAAAAAACACACAAACACCTCTTGAAATTCAATTAGGAGGCATCTGATCACTCACGCCCAGTTTTTTTTCTTCTTTAATTCGGGTATTGCTTTATTTATTCATTTATTTATTTATTTTCCCGTTGTTCAACGACAATCGAACGTTCATCTTCGTCATTGAAGTATCATCCAAAAATTAATCAATCAAAACCAAGCACACGGTGCGTGAGGAAGAGGATATTTTGGACTTTCGAGGGGGGGTGACACCCAACGTAGGGGTTTTGATACCTAGGCAAGGGAAGCACATAGGGTAGGTATCTCTGGGGGTATTAAATGATCCCTTGCTCACCCTTGGACCTTGTGCTTGCAACCCCAAGTGCCCTCTTGAGCTTTTTTTTATGATTTGCCCAATCTAACTCTGGATATGGTTGAGAGTAATTAGTAATTACCCTTTTAACCTATTTATAGCTGTCCGTGAACCCCTTGTTCTCACCACTAACTGTTTGGGCTGGGAATATATATATATATATATATAGGGTCTGCTTGGGAAGCCCCAACGAGTATTGTATTGTATTGTATGTACTTACGTAATATTGAATTCCCTTAAGGTTTAGTTGGAATTGGCTTGCATGAGGTTTATTTTTACTTTTATTTTTTGAGGCTATGTAGATCTTCTGTTAAGTTTGTGCAGGGATAACTGCAGTCACACTTCTAGTGTTCATTTCACTATTTGCAATTAAAAATGTAAATATATCTATGCTGCATTTGTTCTGGATCGGACGTATTTAATGATTATCCATCAAATTAATAGAAACATTTAAACATTTATTTATAGAATATATGCAGAATCAACATCATGACTCTTCTTTGCAACAGAAGTTTTACTTCATATAATTGATCTGAGTAAATGATCACATCCAAACTAAATGATAAATTAAAGATAAAACTTTGAAAGGATAGAGAGCTTCAAAAAAGGTCCTACAAATCAGCACACTTGGGTCATATTATCCACAATTATGAACAACAAATTCGCTGCACATTCAAAAAGTCTCTACATCTGAGATGTTCCCAATAGTGGGATCGGATTGGGATTGTGAGGGGAACATGAAAGTGGAGCAAGTTTTCATGGGCCATGCCAATTTCATGCATTTGTATACATACATACATACATACATACATACATACACATATGTATGTATGTATGTAGATTGAAAACATGTCTAATACTAAGTGGAATTAAAATGCAAAAAAATGCAAAAAGCACAAACACACAAACTTGTTATTACTTGTAGTATGCACCCAACTTTTATTCAAGAGTGACTTGGTCTTTGTGAAATGATTTTTTCAAACATAGCAGTGACAAGTAAGCAACCTGAGTGCTTGTTTGCTATTTGAAATCAGCAGTAAAAAGAAAAAGAAAAAGAAAAAGAAAAAAAGTGTACATAATCATTGAACAGCAATTTGACTATTGTTTAGTTCCTTTGTCATCAAAAACTTAATATAGTGCACTCAACAACAGAAGCAATTACATACAACCCATGGGATTCTACAGCAAATAGGAAGATTCTAATAAAGAGTGTGGGTTTTCATTTTGAGTGTGTTTGTGCATGCACGTTTTTGTAAGTTATGTATACATATATTTATATTTATATTTACACACACATGCACTAGCGTGGAATGTTCTTCATGAACGGTCTCTTGATGAAGTTGGATGACTGCACAAAAATCTGTTCGAAAAGAGAAAGTATTACCATTCAGTGGATAAAGTGAGATTATATTCTCTCATCATCCCTCTTTGGTGTTTTTAATAAATATAAACGACCCTTAACTAAGAAGGAGGAAAAAGTCTAGAGTGTTTTTTAATCACTTTTGTGCCAAGTGTACACTGGGTGTTGAATGCAAAGGGAGCTGGAGAGATACTCTTGTTGAATAAATGGGCTGCACAAGCTTTAGTAATTCCAAAGTAATTTTGAACTGGGTTCTCAGCTAATTATTTTTTCTTGATGTTTTAATTGTTGTTGTTCCTCGGGAAACCAGGAAACAGATCGTACTTGGAATTTGTGGCACCTGGGCACAAATTGTGAGGCAGTGATTCTCTTTGAATTTTTTGCTTGATCATGTTCCTCACCTTGAAACACACATGCTTTTTTGGAGCCACACATGTTTCATTTATCTGATTATTTGTCCTGGTTTGTGTCTGTGTGTGTGTATTTATTTATTTGTTGCCATGTAAGCATTTGGGACTATGCAAACAAGGACATACACTTGGCTTTTGCTGCTTAAATCACAGTCCTAAAACCAAGAAGTATCTGGGCAATACATATCCATGGCATTGGACTACAATATGTCTGAGTCATCAAAATACAACAAGACTAGTTGTGTGCCTTGCTCAGCCATCACACACACACACATGAACATTGGTGAGAAATGTTGCCATGCATGTTGAGCATCTTTCTGAAACACAGATAATTTAATTTGTTTTATCATATCTGATTTTCTTATTCTTTTTCTTCACAGATTGCTCTAGTTGCTTCCCCCTCACACACACATCCAAAATATCTTGAAGCCAGTTCTCTGATGCAAAGAGGCACCACCTTCTTCTCTTTCCAGCTCTCTCCTTTGACCTAAATTCCATGTATTGCATCCAAAGCAATTCACAACTGAACACCTGTTGCTTTGGTGACCACATCCTGTCACACACACACACACACACACACAAACACCAAAAATATCATTCCTATTCATCCCCCAACCTGTTTCGTCTGTCTACTCATCTGTCCATCCATATTGTGAAGAAAGGGGTAGCAATATCCATCCACAAAGTGACTCACTTTGTGAAGCCCAAGGAAGCCCACTTTCAACAAAATGGATCATTTCAGGAACATGCAGTCCCAACACACAGAATGCAGTTAATTTGTTTGTTCCTTTTGAGTTATGTGTGTAGGTGCCATAATCAGAGGTTTGGGGTGTGTTTTGTGTGTGATTAGGACACACTTTGTGATTCTCATTCCACAGTGGAAGAATATATAGATTTTTAATGGTAGTGGGGGGTGTGTGGGTATGTAGAATGGCAGAAGATTTAGAACAAATTCCAAAGCAGATTCCAAACAACATTCCACTGCCCAGTGACTCAGTTGGGTCCATAACCCAACTGCTCTTCAATTCAAGACAAGTAATCTGTACAAGCCCAGTTACCATGACATGCGCCTGACTGTAGGAAAAGTCATTTCACAACAAAAAACCAAAAATCAATAAAGTACACATTGTGTGAATAAGAATCAGTTTACATCATTCATTACATTCTTGGTTTGATTTGGAATGAAGTTTGACTTGTCCACTTACTGATATTTGGTAGACAACAAATGTCATATAAATATATACATGTATTTTTATTTGTTTTATTTATGTTATTGAATACTGTGGGTAAATGGGTATTTACAAACTGTGTTCAATGAGTCTTCCTCCATCTCCTTCATTCTGACACATGAATTTCTTTGTGTAGTCTCTTGGCTGAAGGGAAGGGGCATGATCTTTCTTCATCCATTATAGCTCCTCTTTAAAAACAGCACCCCCCCCCACCTTCCCCTTTAATTTCTACAAGTATACCTGATCTGTTTGGCATTATCTTCTGTGGGATCCTTTACAAATGTGGATTTCATTTGTCTTGTTAATGGATCCAATAATGGGGGCTGAGTGACTGTGGCTAGGAAAGAGAGGGCCCCTTTGAATGGATATGTTTGTTGTGTAAAGTTTGACAGAAAAAAGATGAGAAAAGCTCTAAAAAAAAGGCAAAGAAATAATAATAAAAAACAGGCAAAGAAGTAATGACAAATTTCTGATTTTGGTTGGTAAGAACAAAGACTTTGAAGCATAGAGTTGAATATCATGTTATGGATATGATCATTAGAATTCTTATGACCATTTCATAAGTGGAAGAATCCCACACCCAAAAAACCCATTAAAAAATAAATAAACAAAACACTAAACACATCACACATATATTCGAACCACCCAAAACGACAGTAACAAAAAACAAAAAAAGAAAAAAAAAGAAAAAAGAGAGAGTGAGAGAGAGAGAGAGAGAGAGAGAAAAGAGGTAAAATCACCATCATCTGTAGAATGCACACACAATCCCAACACAGAGAAATGGAAAATCGTTTTAACCAGGCAAGCAAAGGCAAAGGCAAAGGCAAAGCAACATCATCATCAACAACAACATCAACAAGAGGAGGAGGAGGCAGGGGCCCAGAAATAACCCAAACTGGACCCTCATACGGAATACTACAACAATAACAACAACAATACAAACAGAGTAGTATATACGAGATACGGATACGTATAACGGAAGCAAGTATATGGAGGTAAGCTGAGGCAGAAGAGGCAGTGAACGAACACCAGTTGCAGCTCCATCCGTGGTTTTGTAGTGTAGTGTTGTAGTGTAGTTAGTGTGGCAAGGCGTCGTCGTCGTCGTCGTCAAGTGCCCCACCATGGCACCTCCAGCTCCAGCTTTAGCTCCAGCTTCTTCACCATAACCATAAGGGAGGGTGCCCCACTTCGGTGCCATGCTGTTGTGTGCCTCTCCTCGAGAACCATTAGCCACGGCACTAGCCATCCATCCATGCCCTTAGGTGCTCATGTTCCTTGTGTAGTAGATGCAAGAAGAAGAAGAACAACCATCGTCCAAAACCACCTCGTCGTTGTTGAGATCAGCATCCCTCCCTGTCTGAGAAACAGGGTTGAGAGAGAGTTCGTTGGTTGTTGGGCGATTTTGTGTAATATAAGCCGGTGTTGGAAGCTGTATTCGTGCAGTGAATGAGAAGAAGAGGAAAGCCCTTGGCAATGATTTTTGATCTTGTGAAGGTCGGGTGTTGTTGTTGTTGAAGAGGACGAGGTTTTTATTTGGTTTTGGTTTTGGTTTATTTTTTGGGTTCGAAGTGGAGAGCCTCATGACCTATCGTGCTGTTACTGTCGCTTGTGTTGTGATTCTCCTCTTGTTTCTGCCGGTTCCGTTTCATGAAGCAGAACCTGCTGAGTGTAAGTGTAGTGTATATCATCGGCCATTTACTTGGAGAGTGATCGAGAGAGAGCGAGAGAGAGAGCGTGGGAGTTTGTGCGGTTTGTGAAGAAGAGTGGGGTAAGTTTTGTCATGCAGAGGAGTTTTTGACGGCAAGCGATCTGATTGTTTGTCACGGAGGTTTGGGAGTGATAGAGAGATGGTGTTTGATTAGATACGAAGGATCACTGAGGGGGTTGAGAATCGAAAGGGTTAGTTGTGCGGAGGGATTCTTCTTCTTCTTCTTCTTCTTCTATATCTTTCTCTCTTTATCACATTCAACGAAGGAAAGAGTGCGTGGTCAAGCAACAGGATGCCAGGTCTTCGATACCAGCTAGGCATGAGTCCCTTCACAGATTTTCTGGAGTGCGGTGACGTGAACATGCCTGCGTCGCGATACATGGGAGGGATCTCTCGGGATCGGGAGATGGCGCGGCCGCAGAACGTACCGCAGTCCACGAAGGCAGTGCGTCGCGCTCAGCCACAGTGGTTGAAGCCGATCAGGGAGGATTCCAGGGTTAATTTTCTAGGGACCAAACATTGGGGCTCGCCGACCGTGGTCCCGGATACGAGCTACGAAAGCGATGATCTACAAGCCATGGTACATGATTTCATCGAGAATGACTCCGCCGACTGCATGGATGGGGTAGAGGGCGATGGCGGTTCTCCCGTCCTGACGCTCACCGAAAACCTGCAGGTATTCAGATTTGATTGAGCTTGGATTCAATTTCCCAACCATTGCATGCAGCGAAATCGTGCTACTGTTTCATAGTCGGTCTTCATCAGAATGTAGTGGATCATTGGGATGGCTGTAGAGACTCCAAGCCCCACCAGGGGGTATTAATCGAGGGTTTGATCCTTCGACGATGATCTGGTCCCTCTGACCTGGTTCTTCATGTGTTGGTTACCCCCCAGATTTTAACTCAGCCGCAGAGCTCATTAGAACGGGAGCTACTGACCGACGTGCAGCGCCTATTGCTGAATCTCAACGAGGACACCGACCTAATCTGCGACACCAATGACGCCGATTGCAAAGGGACGTGTATAAAGCGCCTCGTGGTGAAGCACCTGAAGATGGCGAGTTACAGCGCCTCGGTGTGCAAATCCAAGTGGCTTAGCTCGGGGCGCGTGCCGGGCGGCGAGTACGAGTACATCGACGTGGTTTTCGAAGGGACGGACCGTCTGATCGTGGACATTCATTTCCAGACCCAGTTCGAAATTGCGAGGCCGACCTCCCAATACTCTGCAGCTCTCATGAGCCTGCCGACTGTGTTTGTCGGCACAATCGCCAAGCTCGAGCAGGTATTGCGTCTCATGTCGGAGGCTGCCAAAGTCTCTCTGGTCCAGAACGACATGCATCTACCGCCATGGCGCACGCTCGACTACATGCGTGTCAAGTGGTTGTCAGATTACGAAACCCTTGCACCGACTCCTTACAGAGGCTCTGCAAGACTTCAATGGAGGGATAAGAGATCCTCAGCTGCAACCTCCGAGGCAAGGCAGTGTGGGGACGAGCTTCGACGCACGAAGCACTCCCTGAGATTGGAGACCAAGGGATTGGGATTGTTCAATCTCTCCCGAGAACGAAGCTCCCGTGCAAACTTGCTGCTGAGATCTGCTGCTTAGGATCTCTCTGTAGATGGAAATGGCAACCCTCGTAAGGCTTCTTCCACACCATTACTCTCAATGGTGCCATAGCAGTGGGTCACAGCCATCTAGAGGCTAACCATGAAGTGTGGGTTTTTTTACTTTTTGCAATACAGAAAAATCTTTGCAGCTGCAGAGTATATTGTGGAGAGACCCCTTGCAGTAGCAAGCGATCGAGTGAGCGGCGATTAGAGTTGGATTGGATTGTCTCCCTCACGGAAACGGAGGAGCGTGTTCTGGTTCAGTCTGGCTGAGGAGTTTTTGTTTTGTGCAGAAGGCCTTTTTCAACATTTTGACGCCATTCTCTGGTACATAGTTAGATTTAATAGACTGATGTGACAGTGAGATACCTTTTTTCTCTTCTTCTTCTTCTTCTTCTCACTTGCACCACCATGCCTACACACGGGTAGTCATGCATGTTGACATCTAATACTCGGAAGAGGTAGAGGAAAGTTTTATTTATTTTTCATGTTTTTTAGAATCTAGGAATCAACCGATCAACCCCTGACGGATCAAACGATATTGTAATGAGACTCTGTAACGACGGACCCCACATAGTTTTGGAGGAGTAGCGAGCTAGGCTTCGCGGAGCCCACCGTTAGAGTGTAGTGGCTACTGTGAGCAGCAGCTATTTTGTTTGCAGATGGGTTTCTGGGATATGCTGGACCACTTTAGCTGAAAGCAAAAGCTTACCCCTTTGGCCATGTATAGACCAAGGATCCTTCCCTCAACTCTTCACGAGAAACCGAAGGAATAATTTGATTTATTACACTAAATGTGATGTTTCTTTTTTTACTAATAAACTGGAGTTTCTATTCCCCACAAGATGCCGATTCCCATTGTTTTTATTATCATTTATTATTATTATTATTTTTTTGCTGTGCTTGTGTCTGCAGAGCTCTTGCTGATGTCAAGAGATGGCATTTGTTTGTTTCTTGTTTGTTTGTGGGTGTGATTGTCGAACAGTGCTGCTGCTGCCATGGCTGCTCCGTTGTGCATAACTATGGTGAGAATCTTGTTATTTATAGTTTCGTGTTTCCTGTCAGAAGAAGCCTTCCTCCAGTCGAGATTCCTGTACAGGCCCCACCAATGCTCATACTCGGCAAGCTCTGCAGGAAACTGTTATTGTGTGTTGGCTGCAGGCAGGGTTTACGAATATAGAACTCATCCATACCGTTTTGTTTGTCAGAACTCTAGCTTTTGCTGCAAGGATATAGCATGTTGATTTCCTATCAACCTACTCTTGATTTGGAATATTTACCGTATAAAAATGTAAAAAGAAGTTAATTTATATATGTAAAGAAGAAAAATAGTTTAATGTAATATAGCAATGCAACTATATGTGCATGTACATACATATACACTCATGATTAGTAAATTCCAGGATTTAATATTTGGATATTAATGTAAATATTTTGGCAATAAATTTCTTGTACAGTTATCTATTTAGAAGTGTTGCATTGGTGGTGAGTGCAGTAAAAGCTTCAGTGGGTTGTTAAAACAAATATGTACTTTAAAACATTGTCAAATTATAGTTTTATTAGTAGGATCATGAACTATACTGATACATACTAACATTGATGGGTTGTTTATTTAATTGGAAAATATTTTCCAATTACCTACACAAAGAATCAAGGAAGGAACTGCCTTTACAATATAGTTTTTATTTATCTCATTTGTAATAAATAAATATAAAGTATATATGAGATACTTTACTATAATCAGGAAATGAAATAATATTTTCTAAATATTTTTTTTTATTATTCTTTCATTTATGAATGATTTGTGGTTAAAATTCAGAGAAAATAAATAGTACAGATCACACCTATATAATGGATGCATTTCTTCTAATTTGTCTCACCATCCTGAAATAAGTGGAGAATTAAGGGTTTGAAAACAATATAGTATATTTTAGAAGGTATTTCTTAATAAATAATGTTGTTAAAAATATATGCAAGCTAAGCAAACTAGTATATGCATGCATTATATGTATTTCTGGTTGGACACATAAAAGATGTATAAATCAATATTTCTACATTCATGTCATTAATATGTAATACATATTTTTACATCTCTGGAATTTATGATTCATCAACAAGTAAAATTTCAATACTGAAAAATGCAACTAATGTTGACAGCTATTTTGGTACCATTATTATTATTATTATTATTATTATTTATTTATTTAAAATTATCTCTATTTAATTGAAATTGTTAAACAATAGTTATGTAACATTTCACAAAAGTAAATGACTGAATAAAACTGTTTGTGAAAAGCAATAACGAAATGTATTGAATTATATATATATATATATATATATATATAGAGAGAGAGAGAGAGAGAGAGAGAGAGAAAATATAGATTGAAAACTTTTAAGACTTGAAACCAATTATGTTTTTTTATTAATAATAATATTATTATTATTCATCCATCTATACAGAAAATTAAAATAATCATAATCTATAGTTCATACAATTAAGATGTATAATATAGAACATCAAGAATATATTCTCTAAAAAAAAGAAATATAAGTATTCAATTGTATGTTTTCATTTATTTTTAAGGTGGTTCAGAAAAAAACTAATTTGTCTATTCATCATACCAACAAGGCACTTTCAATGAAAAAAGTCACCAACTTATATTCATTGGAAACCATATATTAAAAGTAAACAACTTTGCCATTAAATTCAGTTCTAATATAAGTAAATAAACTAATTCATGTTTCAAGTTCAAAAAGAATAAAAAAATTGTGGAAAAATCCTCATGAAAATATATACATAGTTTTATCTTAGGGTTTTAAACATGGAAGGTTATGTAAATATGAAGGTTATGTAAATATGAATTCTAAGAATATTAACTTCCAATAGAAATAGTTATATGTCTGCAAATACCATAGAAAAATATTTATCTAAAACTTACAAATATATGATACATGTAAGATTCTTATTTTAATATATAGATATGCAATAAAAACATATTTGTATTAAATTAAGGTAAATAATATATATATATATATATATATATATACACACTAGTGAAAATCAATGCACTTGGCCACAAAAAACGTTTTAAAATCTTAATTTGTGATTGTTATGCTGTAAATTGACCACTCCTAAAAAAATATAAAAAAAAAAAGTAAAAAAAAAATATAAGAAAAAGAATATATGTCTAAGGATAAAACAATTAATGTTCCTTCATTTTAATTTACAAACATACTTTTTCATATTTCATATAAACAACAACTAAAATAACTAAGTTGAAAGAACTTCAAGATAAATTACATTCACTATGGTATTTTTGTCTTCATTATTTTTTAGATATAAGATCTTGATCATATTTGGAGATGTGCAGCACAATAGGACAACATATAATTGTATATGTACAAATACTGAGATTCTAAGATCTATTCCTACATTCTTCAATGATTGCCATTGAGATTTGTTGATAGTCATTACAAATTCTACCTTTATTGGAAACTGCCTTTGCTGCAATTTAGATAGAATCTCTTCAAATGATGGACATAATATAATTCTTGGAAGAAAAGCCAATTGTCCTTTGTAGTCTCCATATAATAGCCTTTTATAACTCAATCAATCAACTATATAATGACTAGTTGTGATCAATTACAAAGTCCTTAATGAAGAGGAATGTTTTGGAATAATATAATAAGACATCCAATCTTGAGTTCTAACCTAAATGGTAGCAATTCAAATAGATTAAAAGTATTCAAATATTTGGTTGGATAATAATTATTATTATTGGCATCATCTTCCATAATTGCTACATCTGCATTGAGATAAATACATAAATTCTAAGAAGTCTTTACATAGCATGCTTGTTTAAATCATCAATATCATAATTTTGAGCACATAAAATAGACCTATTGGTGAAATAATCATCTCCAAGTGTCCCATTATCATCCAATTTCAAATAAATAGTTTAAATTAAATCATTTGATATTGGATATACTTTCATATGTTTTAGAAGAATCATGATATTTTTCAATGGATTTACAATTGTTGATTCATTTTTGATCTACAAATAAAAAATAATAATAGATATATTAAAATAAATATTATATCATAAAAAATACTTAAAAAAGTAACAATCTTATATAATACATACCTTCAAAATTTCTTCAAAAAATAATCAATTTTTATTATAAACACCTTCTAAATATATATTTCTGGTTAACTTGCATAATTTAATATCAAACCAGATATTTTATTGTTGCAAAGAAGCATCAACAATCTCTTCTCTTGAGCCTTTAATAACAATAAGAAGAATTTGCCAAAAATATCTACCAAAGATTAGTAATTTTGCCAAATAATTTATTAGTGTTATTTATGTCTTGGAGAGTTCTATGAACTGTCGTAGTATAATGGCAATGTTGTATTGGTACTTCATCCCAAATGATAAGAATTGTCATTTTTAGCATATTTATATGTGATGCATTCTTTACAATACTACAAAACAAATCTTTATGAAGATTGAGTGTACAATCTATCTACTACTTTAAAGTTGTCCTATAATTTCTAAGGAAAAAATATACAAAATAATTTATCCATTACTTTGGAACTTCTTTGTTGATATATAATAAAAAAATGTTTTTCTACTTCATGCTAATTCTTTCAAAAAATATACTTTTTCAAGATTGTTATCCATTGAAAAAAAGATATCAAAGTATATAGTGCATTGTTCATTACTTAACTTTGGCACATGTTCTTCTATTGTTCTTTTTAGCTCGTCACAATTCCATGCCATATGCTCCATAAATATTCAATTTGCAACATTTTCATTCCAATTTCTTTCTTATAAAGGCATCAATAGAAAATTAACAAATATTTTGTTTGATTCTTGAAGAATTTCATCAAGAAGAAATAGTTCATAATCTAACATATCTCTTTGCGTAGGTCTTTTAATTCCATAATTTTGAGTTAATAAAAAATCCAAATCATTACAACAAATTTCTTTAAACTTCTTCCATAGCTCTTTTTTATGTGTAAGTGAAAATTGAAGAAAAATAATAACAAACAATGTTTTTAATTGTTTTTCCATTTTCATTACAAAGGCTTCTTTTAAGCATTTATTTCATTCTTGATCATCTCCGAATAATTCTATTTGTAAATATGAATTCTTAAAATTTGGTTAAAATATTCTATTTACAGTACTTAAATCTTCAAATAAACATGGTTTCCATACCATCATTAAAAGAAATCAAAGATAAAATCTTTCTTCCACAATAAGATTAGCAAAATATAACCTTTTAATTACAAATCTATGTTGCCTTAATGTCCATATTTTTGAGGTCTTATTCCATACAAAATATTGTCAAAACTCTTGTTATTTGTATTTCCGAGCAATCTCCATTAATTCACATTTCAAAAATTGTTATTAAAGTTATTTTTTACTACTTTCTATGGGCTAAGTTTTCAATTGTATCATCATTTGGATCAAAATTTACTTGGTGTATTCTAAGAAGAGGTAATACTAATCAAATTTGATTACTTTGATTAATCAAAGAAATTAGTACTTTCATTCTAAACAAATACTATGTTGATTCAAAAGCTCCAATATATTGCTTGACCTCATTCCGCTCATTTTCAATTTGCATTGTTGTACAATCATGCTTTATGAATATACTTGTGAATATATTTTACAACACAAATAGAAGCATAAACTTCAATATGAATATGGTAGTTATATTTTTTACTAAAAATAAGATTGTAAGGAACAATATTTCAATTGTCTACAATATGATTGCCAACATTAAAATTCATTCCAATATTTTTTCTTTGATATTGAAGATATCCATCACCATCCATTAATATTACTTTTTGATAAACTTTTAGATATTTCTTTTAGCATATTTCATCATTCATACATAGAACTTGCATATTTCAAGGTCTAAATAGACTATAAACCATGCAAGTAATAATTATTTCAAATAATAATAAAAAATTATACAAAAATAATCTTATCAAAATTATCCAAATCTCTTATTTTATTTTTTTTAATCAAAAAAGAATAAGAAGTACATGTGCAAAAGACCTTGTTTTTGAAACACAATAATATGTTCTATTTCAAGTGCATGTTCTAAAATGAAATGCTTAAAAATATCTTCAATCAATGTATGACACTTCAATTCAAATACTAACATCACCATGTTAAGACAAGCTTTGGAATATAGTCTTAGAAGGAGTGCACTTGAAATTTCTAGCTACCACATATTTGCAGTTATTATATCAAATATATTTTGATGATGAAAGTATGAAGTAATGGCTATAGATTTTTGAAAAATATCAAATAAGTTTCTTGTACTTTCAATGTGAAACAATAAAAGAATTATTCTTTATCCTAAATTTTACATATTAACTTCTTGATTTTGCATATTTCTAATAATGTTTTCTAATCTTTGATATATATATCCGCACATAATCTATTTTGATTCATACTGAAATATCTCAACCGACTTTATTTTGTTACTACCCAAACATCCACAATAAATTCTTATAAAAGCTTTCCACCTTGTAAGATAGTTGAATACTTATTATATTGTAAAAATAATCAATATGATAAGAAAACTATTTGAGTAACATATGCAATCTGCATATTATTACCTCCAAATTCATTGGCATTCATATCTTTGTATCTCATTTGGTCATGCCATCTAAATTCTCTTGAAGAAAAAAAATAATAATACCATAGTGGAGTGGCAAATATATAAGATGACCATGCATTTGTTGCAATGCATCTCCTTTCTATTGAAGTATAATATCTCTCATCACTTCTTTTTTTGTTCCATTGCTTGGCATATTAATAACAACTTCATTAGAAGTTAGAAGATTATAACACCTTCTATCAACATCTTTATTAAAGTGTAGATGTATGCATATATCATCATTGCTCTCTTCTCATTCTCTTGCTTCAGACAATATTTCACAAGCTTGTTGACAAAGTAGAAAAAATACATGTTGTTTTCTTAAATATTCTTGAAGCTCCTACATTATTTGAACTTATAAATTTCTATTACATGCTATCCTTGCTTCATGTGTAATATCAGGATCATAAATATAAAGTTGCATAAAACTTGCTTCTATACCTTATTCCAATAAAAAGATATCCATTTAATGTCAAAACTCTCCACATATGCAAAAGTTGTACAGACCATATCCTTATAATATAATATTATCAAATTTTGCACCAACAGATATAAATGCATGTGTACAATTATGTCAGCAAATAGTCTTCTGAAACTTCTTACTTTATTCATCTTATCCATCAAGTAATTATCTAATTAATAATGAGAGATTTTGAAGAAGCAAAAGTTCAATCTTTCTATAAAGAAAATATGTATCAAATCATGGATTTAATTTTGTCAATGGTATAGTTCACTCATTCATCCAATAGAGTGCATAATAATGTAGACATTGAACATCCACATTTCTAATATTATGACGGCCTTCCAATCTTTCTCTTTCATTATGATTTTCATGACAAATTTATTCCACTTGTTCACTAACTTTTCCTGCTATATCATGGTCCATTGCTTCTTCTTCTTCTTATTCTTCTTGTATATGTAAAATTGATTGATCACGTTATCATGTTGTGGTTTGGCTACTATATGAAAATAATGTAATTATATACTTAATATATAATTTACTAAGTAACATGGTGAGAGCCATGTTAGTAGATTTTAGTTGATTATAGAATATAATTTGATTATTACCTTGAAAAGAGGTTGTTTAAAAAGATTACTATAGAATTTGTATAACTTTAATTTTCTTTTGATAATGGCTTTTAAGATTGGTTTTGGTTGATAGTAACTTCTAAATATTTAGAGTCACCTTTGTTAGACAGTGGTGACCTTTGGAAACTTATTTTGGTTCTTATATTTGGTATTTAGAGTATAAATTATATAAATCTCATAAGAAAAAGGATTGAAGAAGGTTTTTGGTAGCAAAAAGAGTAATTAGGGCACTAATATAGATGAAAGGAGATGGATGATGAAAATCTCCATCCCTATTGGTCAAAAATCATGACCAATAGGCTTCGAGGAGGCTGCTCGGGGCCATATTAGAGATTAGGATTAGTTTTTCGGGGCCATTTGAGCTTTGAAGGCTAAGGTCAGCAAGTTTAGGTTTTTGGCTATGGTTTTGGTAAAACTTTTGTATGGTTTGGAGTTTATATGAAGGAGATACAAGTGCTCAAAGTTAAGGTGTTGATTTGGGAGCTACTGTCATTCTTTTTGGCATAACGCACGTGTATGGACAACAATTGAGAATCGGCGACTGCAACTAAAGAGAGCACTTTTGCGGCTACACTTTTGATGTATTGCTTACTGGATTCCAAGTTGAACTGAAGGAGTTATTGGATTTTGAAGTCAGCACATGCAATCTAAGGGTAGTAAGTGACCCGATTTACTAGTGGTTGTGTCTTGAGCTATATCTTGAGCAATTTGATAATGTTTTTGCTCAAAATTTCAGGGAATGTGTAATTTCATATTAATAAACTTTGTACATAAGTTTTATAACATTTGAATATTGGATTCTTATGATATTAAGAAAATAGTGCTCGAGTGCTTGTAAATTAGGGTTTAGAGCATCTGCTAGGGTTTCTTAGATGTTAGAAGATCGGGAGTGAATTTGAAGTTGGTTTTTTTTTGTGATAAAATTTAAGGGTAAATTCTACCTATCCTATAAATTTGACACAAACTAAATGGCTTTATCAAGATTTATGAATTTTTAAAGTGATTTGCTATCTGAGAATATATTGGATATCTAGTTGTAGACATTGTAGCTTAAACCTTTATATGAATCTTTTCTTAGGTTCCAAAACTCCTTTATTTTTCATAAAAACTAAAAATATAACAAAATCCTTTCAAAACATATTTTTCCCGCAAAGGGTTTTCTTGTCCCAAACTTTACAAATTCATAACTCTTGATAAAAACCATTCAATTTGTGTCAAATTTATAGGATAGGTAGAATTTACCCTTAAATTTTATCACAAAAAAAAAACAACTTCAAATTCACTCCCGATCTTCTAACATCTAAGAAATCCTAGCAGATGCTCTAAACCCTAATTTATAAGCACTCGAGCACTATTTTCTTAATATCATAAGAATCCAATACTCAAATGTTATAAAACTTATGTACAAAGTTTATTAATATGAAATTACACATTCCCTGAAATTTTGAGCAAAAACATTATCAAATTGCTCAAGATATAGCTCAAGACACAACCACTAGTAAATCGGGTCACTTACTACCCTTAGATTGCATGTGCTGACTTCAAAATCCAATAACTCCTTCAGTTCAACTTGGAATCCAGTAAGCAATACATCAAAAGTGTAGCCGCAAAAGTGCTCTCTTTAGTTGCAGTCGCCGATTCTCAATTGTTGTCCATACACGTGCGTTATGCCAAAAAGAATGACAGTAGCTCCCAAATCAACACCTTAACTTTGAGCACTTGTATCTCCTTCATATAAACTCCAAACCATACAAAAGTTTTACCAAAACCATAGCCAAAAACCTAAACTTGCTGACCTTAGCCTTCAAAGCTCAAATGGCCCCGAAAAACTAATCCTAATCTCTAATATGGCCCCGAGCAGCCTCCTCGAAGCCTATTGGTCATGATTTTTGACCAATAGGGATGGAGATTTTCATCATCCATCTCCTTTCATCTATATTAGTGCCCTAATTACTCTTTTTGCTACCAAAAACCTTCTTCAATCCTTTTTCTTATGAGATTTATATAATTTATACTCTAAATACCAAATATAAGAACCAAAATAAGTTTCCAAAGGTCACCACTGTCTAACAAAGGTGACTCTAAATATTTAGAAGTTACTATCAACCAAAACCAATCTTAAAAGCCATTATCAAAAGAAAATTAAAGTTATACAAATTCTATAGTAATCTTTTTAAACAACCTCTTTTCAAGGTAATAATCAAATTATATTCTATAATCAACTAAAATCTACTAACATGGCTCTCACCATGTTACTTAGTAAATTATATATTAAGTATATAATTATATTATTTTCATATAGTAGCCGAACCACAACATGACAACGTATCTTTTATCTTAATTGGACATATTTTTGAAGATTTATAGATTGAGCTATTTCTCTATTATAACCATTATTTTCATTAATTATAGCACCATCTCCTTCCACTTCTTGTTCATTTTGGTCTCTATATAATTCACCACATTCGTGTGCCTTTGTCTAAATTGTCCAATTACACAATGATTGTATATAGGTGCATCATTAATTAAGTCATTTCTATATCCATCTAGGACATCTAATCTTCTTCTTCCTAATTCTTTATGTATTTTCACATATTATTCATTAAGTTCACGTGCTTTTTATTTTTATTGTGCAATAACTTGATGATTGACAATTAACATGTTGGTTATCAAGAAAGCCAAAAATTCACGGTTTGATAATATCTTTTGATAATAATATTTTTTAATACTAATATATTTTTTAAATAATAAATTCCACTACTAAATCACTTCTTTTAATTCATGCTTGCTAATAAAACATTTTTATGCTTTTTAAAATTTTAATCACACTAAAAAATTAAACCTTTATTATAGAAGAACTATATTTTTGGGCTCATATATTCTAAATAAAAAATATAAGGAATAATTTAAATACTATTTATAAAAGTATATATTTATTATTAAACTTTATCTCAAAAATTATATACACTTCATGAATAGATGTAATCATGTAATGCTTTTCTATAACACAATAAAAAAAATTATAATAGAATGAAATCTAATTTTATTATAAAAGGTATGTTTAACCAATAATGGTTTTATAACAATGGTGATTACTTAGCACAAAGAAAAATGGCTCATATCCTATATATAATGATGCACTATAAATATGCTCATTTATTTACTTATATATCCTATATATTTCAACTACATGCTACATATATATTCATCTACTTACTTCTAGTTTTTGATCTCTATGCATCTCCGAACTCTGAAAGCTCTATATTAATGTGCATAAGGCAATGAGGTGTGAACTTGTCGGGTCGTGAGAGAGACTTGTGATGCCGTGTAGACAGCCCACCTGAGACGAACCACGCACATACAGAATAAGGTGAGACAACAGTAATCAAGCATCATGAAAACAATTTCCTTACATTCTAATGCCTTGTAGATGTAAATATTACAACAAATGCTATTATCATTCACAGCAGCTCGCATATAAACTCGGTATTTGATGCAGTGCTCATGCAGCCCTCCATCCACGGCCACCACAATTCGTTATGTGTCAAGTTGTTGAGGCACTTGGGAGTTCCAGTGCAGATTTGTGAATGTCCTTGAATCCATCGAGTTGAAAGCCTCGCCCCCAATCTTATTCAAAATGCCCACGATTCCCGCTGCCGCCAACCTTACACTGCGCATGATTACAATGTCGCAAACATTGTGCACGATCCTCCTTGCTGCCAAATCGGTTTTTTGATCCTAGATTGCACAACATCCACCGACCAGTATTCACAATCCTTCGTCGATTCGAGTAATTCTCAAAGAGAAGATCATTATGAAGCAAATCCAACAACTGAATCTTAGTAAATAAAAAGAATCTCGATTGGTATATCAAATAAAATGTCGTTAGAAACCGTGCCAATATCATTCATATATTTACGTCGCTGCAGCGATCCACGAACGGCACTGAGCCCCAGTAAAATCACTCCCTGCAGTTAACTATCGTATTAACTGTCATATAATTAAATCACGGTATCCTATAAGACGTGGAGGTTATTTTATCGGCGATCGCAGGCAAGACCTTTTCAATCATCATCTTCATGTATTCCTCCTTGTTGATCGAGATGATACATTTCGTGTTTCCACGGTGTCGGCCACTAAATTGTTGCTGCTGCTGCGGCGTAGGGCGCGTTGTTGGAAGACGAATGGGAAGATTCCGAGCTTGCCATGAAACCATTGGTTTCGCGAAGAGTCCCATCGAGAACGCGCGACAGCAGCCAAAAACAACACCTTAGCATATTGTTTTTTGATACATTTTGATACATTTTGAAACATACACAAACATCCAAATCCAAACAACCAATAATTCGAATACTTAAAAACACCGATCCGCGTCTCTGACCAAGATCGAGGTATCGAAACGAAGATCGTAAAAATCCACGCACTGAACAGATCCACGGCCCAGTCGAAACTGCATGCCACTCACTCATCAAAGGAAACCTTCCATCGAATGTCATTGAAGCCGTGTGTCTAGTTTCGAGACAATTGCACCTTCAACTTGTATATAACCTTCGCGCCGTTGTTCGCAGTGGCGGCAGAAAATGAGGGGAAGACAACAACCTGCAAACTACGAGCTTGGAGATACAGAAACAGGTTTTTGGCACAACCACAAGCAGAAACCCGTGCCAACCACTTCGCGTTCCCTGAGTTATCAAAGTTCCCTCTCAACAGCCAATCAGAATCGATTTTCGTCGCTTTAGCTTATATCTATGCTGCCTTATATAATAGATAGTGTTTGCAGTGGTAGTTCAGACTTAATTACAATGACAAGATTTTATTAATAAGTCCATTCAATAAAACAAAACATTTCCGATCATTACTTGTACCATCCCCTCATCGATGAATAAAAGAATAGAATAACCCAGAAACTGTAATCAAGTGGAGAATAAAATAAATTAAAATAGAAACAAATAATAACTAAATAATGACAATAATGATAATAATAGTAAATGATGGGATATTTGCCAGCAACCCCAGTTCTGCACTCCCAATCCTAGTCAGCAAAGGACCCTTTCCTCCGCTTGCCACGTAGAATGGAAAAGAGCTCGAAATTTGAGGCTGTGGATATTTCGCAAGAGCCGATGCACAGATGGCATGCCATGCTGGCGGTGAGCTGTGTCCCCATCGGAACCACATCAGCACGCTGAGTCAGCATCCGCGAGGCTTGGAAGGAACGCTATAAATAACACCAAGTCGCGAAGCATCTGGAAGGAGGGGGGAACGGATGGATGAACGAAATCGACGAGGCGAAGAACAGTGCTCGCGATGCTCCGTCCATTTGAGCTCATCCCTTCCCCTAACTCCGTTTATAATATATATATTTATTTATTTATGGACGTATTTCCTATTGACACGTGTTTCTCTCCCCTTGTATATGGGTGGGGGAGGTGTGACCCACTTCATTCTCATATTTCTTCAGAACCCTAATAATAACTACCCTTATAAATTACTTGACAAAAAAATTCCTTCATGTGTACATACTTAGGTACATATATGTTTTATTAATTCTTGTGGTGTAGCTTTGAATGAAAGTCTTAACCATTGATAACAACAATTTGAACGTGATACAATATAGCTTATTATGTGACGTCCAACTTTAATACACTCCAAAAATTGTAAATTGTGAAACTCATAAGTGAAGATTGAGTCCAACTCATTCAATAGTGAAACTTGTAAGTGAAATTTGAGTCTAATTCATTGTATTTTGTATTATCAAAAAATAGTAAAGTTTTGAAACATTGATATTAAAATTTTAGTACAAAGGAGCTATGCAATGATCCAAATGCATCTTTCTTACATTGTAATTTTTTTTTATTTACAAAATTTCCTTTTTATACATTACTTCATTTCTGACAAGTCTTTCCATGGGTATTGCAGAAAACAAATTTTCATCATGAAAATACCTTTAAAAGAATACTTTTAAATTTTGTATACACACATGAGTACATACTTTCTATGTATAGACGATGTTTTTGTCTCATGCATTGGTTATCAACACCAATGTACAGAATTTTGGAACCATTAGTTTCTTGTTTTTACTTAACTCATTTTTTATTTGTACAATATGAACACCGTGCATCCAATGTGTTAAAGCCCAGTGTTTTTTTATCCCTTCTTTACGAACATATTTCTTTCAACAATCTCAAAAGTACCTTAGATGTCTTATTTGTTGAAAACATGGTTTGATTCAAAATTTGTTAGATTGTCTTTTAAATAAACAAAAGTTACTTCCAAACATCAAGTTTTAAAGAAATTAAAATCATGGTGTAACACCACAACACATTTTACAATCATTCACCACACAAAATACAAACATTTGTCTAAGAAAAGTTAGAACAAAATAAAAATATTAACAACAACCTTGGAATCTCAAGATTCTATTCTATCAATAGGAAGTGCAAATTGTCAAATGTGAGATGTGTGCTCCATAACTCAGAAGAAATAATGCTTCCTTGGCCACAGTGAGGGGAGAATATTGTGACAACAACAATATTAATAGAAACAATAAAAATATTACAAATAATAGAAATAAAAAAATCAGTTTGGGAGAAAGCAATAAGAATCTCTTCACAAATTCCACGAAATAATGCTGCTCTGAAGTAGAATATTCTAAATCACATCCCTCACACACACACACACGTGTATATATATATATATATATATATATATAATTGCATGAATATCCTTTGGTTTATGGGCTCATAACTTCTCACTCAGATATGGAATGGGTGTCCGTATATGGGGTCTAAAAAATAACAATATTAATAAGGAAACAATGTGGTTTACTTCTTCATTGAGCTTCTTTTTCTTTTCTTATCTTCTTTTCCTAAAACTTATCAAAGTTGATAGAAGAACTTGTGAACGCTTGTGCAGATAATTTAGTAGTTTGGTGTTAAGATGGATGAATTGCCAAGATTTTTCAACTTCTGAGAGTTGAATCCTGAATAAAGTTGTGGCCTGTTTCACTGTGTTGGTGTTTGAACTTTTCAATGAAGATATGTTGGATAATGTTTTTGATTATTTGATTTTTTTAACTACATATTATCACTATATATATATATATATATATATATATATTTATTGGTATATGGGTGCAATTCCACCAAAAGTTCACGATTTTATACAAGGGCTTGAAAACAACCTCAACACTCAAGAAATATGCTTTACATAGGTTAAACAAAAATAGCCTTCAAATTGTGAACTAAAACTATGGAGATTCTCTACATAAGAATTAAGGACATGTGTTGGGATTATGCGTAGTTCCTTTTCCCATGTCTATTAAAAGATGTGTGGGTTTAGGGGTTTGTTTCCAAAGCACAAGTTTAATGAATCAACAAGGAGATGATTAGGAACTTGCATGCTCGGGGTAAAAGAAGCATGAGATTTTGTTTCCAAAGGTAGTCCTTCCTTTGTTACCACAAGTATTTGTAGAAGTAAAGCTAAGAAATTAAGGGGGGAGTGAGGAATTGGATTTAATGGTACTTCTTAGGGAGCCTTTTATTAATTAAAATGGGCAAACTGATAAACTATTTTAAACTAAAATCTTGCAGGTACAATGTTTGGATTCACATCACATGCCAATTAGTTGTTTGTGACCATGCTCCTCACTAATTATGTTCAAAAACTTATTTGTAATTAAATGATCAATAATGAATGAACCTCTATTTTTTTTTTATTATTTTTTTTTTTTTATAAAACTTGGGACGGGGGATTACAGCAGGTGGTGATGATTGTAATACAAAAATTGTGTTGCTGCAGAAATGAGGGGTTTTATTTGTTATAGTTATTGAACAATTGGTACCCCAATCATTCTTTTTCCTTTTCCTTTCCTTCCCTTCCTTCCTGTCTGTGCCCCTAATTTATTTATTTAGTTTTTTTGATTTGATGGTTAATTAAAGGCTTGTGTAGCATAAATACACAGCACATTGAATGCTCACATGACAATAGCAACAAGCAAACTAAGTATTGTAGTGGTAGTAAGAATATATATAAAAAAAAAATCAAAAAAATCAAACAAACCAACACTGCTCATGAAGAATATAAGTGAAAGGAGATTGTGAAATGAAGAAAAGGGTCAAATAAATAAATAAATAAATAAAACCATCCAACAATTGATTGAATGAATGAACGAATGAATGAATGAATGATGATGCATGGATGGATGGACAAATAGTTATAGAGTGTTGGGATTGTGTGGATGAATCAAGGTCACTCACCAGTTCCATTCATCCAACTGGACCTGCTTCAAACCAACGAGTTTAGTCCAGCAAAAGTATAAAACTCAACTGTGATTCTTGCTTCTCAATGACTAAAATAAACTTACTTTTATAATTAGAATTATGATGAAATTTATTTTTATTCCAATTTACAATCAGATTTTATACCACTTTAGGTTAAGAGGCACTATTATTTTGGAAATTCGTGCATACTTGTGTATCCATGTATGCTTTTGAAAAAAGAGAATGATATAATAGATTTGTTTGAGTACTTTTGAATAAAATAAAGTATATTAATAAATATTTTACATTTATACATACATACATACATACATACATACATACATACAGAAATATTGTTTATAATATTTATATTAATCTTTGTGTTTATATTTATCTAGAAATAAACAATGTGGATTCATTTTAAAATTAAACTAAACTAACATATATATATATACATATATATATGTATGCAAACACGTGTGTGCAATTGAGCACACAACTTTTACTTTGAGGATTTTTATTAAAGAATGATGACCTGAAAATGTGAAAACTGTGGCTGTTTATTTGCATGTATTTTCTTTTTCTATCGAAAACAATTAAAGACTCAAAACAGTACAAACTACAATCTAATTTGGTTTTTTGCATAAGCTTGCTTACAATTCATCATGAATGAGATCAACACATTTCATATTTTTGTAAAATTTCAACCCATTTTTGTATAAAAGTATTTTAAAATATTATATTTTTAAACATAAATATATAACTATATATAAATATACACACATATGCATATTTTATTTTATTAATTTTTATTCACATAAAATTTATGTAATTAGAATCAAATCAAATTTATATATATTTTTAATGAAATATAAATTATGAAAATACGTGTAAACATACATAAACATATAAACGTCTTTATTTCAAGTAGTCATTTGCATATGATTAAAATTAATGCATTTGATTCTCCTTTGTAACTTTTGGGATAAATATTGTTTTCATGATATTAATATTTACAATGGATAATGACCAAATACAATTTATCATTCTTGAATCATTGACTATACCCATGATTTTTTTTTTTATTCATGTTTAATAAGACTGGTTTTAAAAAGTTAATGTAAATTATTTTATTATTTTATTCTCTATTGATTTTTGTTCTTAATTTTGCTACTATGAATTCCAACGTTGCAGTACTTGTCTGACTTAAATTTTTTGACTCTCCTCACAACCACAAATGTAAGTGTTTCTTTTCTTCCAGAATTTCTCAGTTTATTATTATTATTATTGTGTCAAATTAAGTCTCATTCCATATGTTGCATTTCACAAAAAAATTAGGTCTCATTTCACTGATTCTTTTAAAATACATTTTTATGACAAATAGGTTTTACAACAAAATTATTGAATCTTACATGAATATGAGAAGCTTACTTTTTTTAGGAAATTATTGAATCTTACCAGGTTTAGGAAATTTGAGAAGCTTCAACTTTGTTCAAAATGTAGACACTTTTGTAGAAATGCAAACTCTCTCTCTTGCTTTTTCTTGAGGAACCGCAGAGATTTTTTTATTTTTATTTTTATTTGGGGGGGGGGGTACTAACTGAGCGGTTGACATGTATTAATATGGTTAATGGGATGTGACAAATGTAACTTTTAAGAAAGTATTTCAATCTTGTGATTTTCATTCTTTGCAGTAAGCTTTGATAAAGTCTAGAAGAAAAGATGAAGTATTACATTCTTTATTGAATCCAGGTTCAATGTCTTAACAATTTGTTCTTCAAATATTAACATTGGTAATCACAATGGATTAATTTTTAGTTGCAAGTGACTTTTTACAATCTAAGATATTTTAGATGTTGATGACTTTTGGGTGGCTTTAATAACATATTTAGTTTGAATAATTGACATAATTTATTGTGTCAATATTTAAAAAACTGAAGCTCAAATCAGCAGTCTTGTTAAGTTTAATAAATCTAATATCATAGCAACATGTTAACAATATTCAACTTTTAAGGATTTGTGTAAACAGTGATGAAAACGTTACAAGATTACGTTAGGTCTAATATTATACAGTACAACAATATTTATTTTCATTAATGATTATATCTCCTTTTCACTTATGAACTTTTCTTATATAATATTTATCAGTCTTTTTGATTTTGAACTGAAAGTTGCAGAAACAAAGTGATTTGTTCTTTTTAACTGTAAATTCATACAATTTAGCAACAATCATGTATATATATATATATATATATATATATACATATATATTCCGAGGCATTAATTTATATAAGATTGAATTACTTAATTTTTTTTAATAAATAAAAATAGAGTTGAATTTAAGGGATATATCATGTATAATAAATAAGACACGTAGTACTTTTAAATAAAAGAATCTTCATAAATAAAGATTTATTTGTATGAGATTAATGTTTGCTACATTATGCATATTTTATAAATATCATGACATGAATTAATTTGACATCTAATCCTGAAGCATTTGTATTAAACAAACAGTTCTGGATTTGTTCATTAAAATGGAATGCATTCTTTTTTCATTTTGGATTTAATATTCACATACGTCTAATTTTTTTATTCATTGCGACCAACTGGTATCTGTCATTGAAAATTTTCTGATTGGATAACTTTATTTTTATTTTTATGTCTGTCCTTAAATTTCGTGGATTGGATGAGTTTTTGAGAAAGGACATTATTATTTTACTAAGAAAGATTCAAGCTTAAAAATAAAAAAAATGAAATTTTATTTATGAAATAATTGAAAGGATGTTTATTCTAAACTGAAAATTTAACCTTGAATGTGCATTACAGGTTTGCACCCTCTAGAATTTTTTTCTGAAGTTCAAACTTACCTGAAATGAGAAATCAAAATTCTCAATCGTTGAAAATTAATAACTTTGTAAACATATTTTAAAACACTGTATTGATAATAGTTTATTATAATATCAAAAGTTCAACACTAAATGAACACAAATAAATAATTACAATTTCTCATATATTCATTATGTATTTTTTCAATAATATTATGCATATTATCCAAATTTTAATAATTATAAATATACTAATAAATAGCATCTAGATCTCAGAAATCATTTTAATTGCTAAATGGTTTCCTTTCAGTGTGTATATATATTAGAAAGGAGATCCATTTAGCAAGCTAGATGTTTACTAAGACCAAAAATATCTCACATAAAGGTTGGAAAATATTTCAAAAAACTCAACCAATCATACATCAATCAACATTCAATCAATCAAGAAAATTTTACAACCCGCACTAATTTTATTCAACCAATCAATGTCCCTTACTATGACTAAAAATAAACTAAAAAATCAGTGCTATGTTAGCTAAGTGTGGGTCATATTCATTTGCACCACTCCTACTATTGTTATTGCTGTTAGCATGGCCTTCTCCATCCTCTAAGCCTAGTAATTGGATAACTTGGTAGTAATTAGGTTTTACCACCCTATTATTCCAACAAATGGGATTTTTTGATGCTCCAAGCAAAAGTATGTTAGTTGATTATATATATTACTAAAAATAAAAAATATATTCTTTAATCATTTTCCTTGATTACATTTCCACAATCATATTATAATTGTTGCATTAATTTCAATGTAGACAAATTAAAAAATATATATAGAATAAAGAAAGATTAGTATCATTATCATCATCTTTACTACTACTATTATTATTCCAACATGTAATTAGTTTTAATATCTATATATATATATATATATATATAGGAGGAAATGATAAAGCGACATAAATTTTTAGTAAAGCAATCCACTCTATCTTAAGCATCATTGCACCCTTAAAACCCACATTCCTGTTTCCAACCATTGTTAGAGATGGAGGGGGGAGACTAGGAACATGACGAACAAGGGCGATGGTTGGGAATAGAGAAACGGCTAAGAATAGGGTATGTAGGTTGATTTAGTAAAACTTTGGGTTTTTTTTATCATTTTATTCCACGTATATATTTATATATATATATATATATATATATATATATATAAACTATAGATTCAACAATAAATCACTTACCAAACCACATCACAATCTTACATTCCAATATCAATGTCCATTTATTTTCAATTTAAAATATTCATACATAAGAACAAACAACCATCTCCTAAAAAACCACATACACATACACACACATAAACCTTTAAAAAAAATACACACATGAAATAGTCCAGCAAACGAATTAGAAACTAGAAGCAAGGAAGTACAAAACCACACACACGCACATTCACTCTAAGACACAACAATTAGGACATAATGTGAAGAATGGAACTCACGGAGAACATGTGCGCTTCAACTCCCCAGGGCCGAGGGAACGCTGTGAACGGTGGGATCAAACGTAACTAACAAACGAATGGAACAAACACTGTCGACGAATGAAAACGAGCGATTCATTGTAGAGAACACGAATGAATGTGCGAACGAACGTGGCATCAGAATCTTCCACGCTACTGTACTCTACTATAGTAATATACTCTTTGTTATACCATACTCTACTCTCTAGTCTACTCACTACTCTACAGCACCGTGGCCATGGCCGAAGGGGAGGAGGGAGGAAAAGGCCATGGCCATGGCCGAAGGGGAGGAGGGAGGAAAAGGCCATGGCCATGGCCGAAGGGGAGGAGGGAGGAAAAGGCCATGGCCATGGCCGAAGGGGAGGAGGGAGGAAAAGGCCATGGCCATGGCCGAAGGGGAGGAGGGAGGAAAAGGCCATGGCCATGGCCGAAGGGGAGGAGGGAGGAAAAGGCCATGGCCATGGCCGAAGGGGAGGAGGGAGGAAAAGGCCATGGCCATGGCCGAAGGGGAGGAGGGAGGAAAAGGCCATGGCCATGGCCATGGCGGTGGCCCTTGCCTTCCCTTTCACACTCGATGCTTCACTTTCTCTCCTGACGGAGGGACGGACGGTCAGAGAGGAGGAGGAGGAGGAGGAGGACGGGGGGATGCCATGGATGATGGTACAGTCGCAGCCCGGATGCAATGCAGCCTGACGGCGATGGTGCAGTGTGGTGGAATTTCATAATCAGGACTAGGAAGGAAGGAAGGAAGGAAGGAAGGAAGGGAGGAGCAGGAGGAGGGAGGGAGGAGGAGCTTGGCTATGGCGTAACTAACCAATCGGGTAGGGTTTGGAAACTCATTCGTGGTGGTGGTGGTGGTGGTGATAGGGTTGTTGCGGGGCATGGTTTAGGAATAAGGAGAGCATTGGTGGTTGGTTGCAAAGAGTGAGGGAGGGAGGGAGACAAGGGGATGGATTACAGTGCGTTGTGAATAGCAGAGGGCGTGAGGGGGAAGAATTGAGCGTCGGGGTGAAATGGCGTATGCGATGCGGCCGCCGCAGACAGGGCTGATGGGGGATCACTTGACGATTATGACGAGCGTGCCGAATATAGCGCCCTTGGCGACCATGCAAAGCGCCTCGGACATGGCCGGGGAGTCGGTAGTGACGCCGGACGGGCGGAGAGGGGTCAAGAAGGAGGACCGCATCCCGCAATGGGGGTACCACGAGACGAAGGAGTTTATTGCCATCCGCGCGGAGCTCGAGAAGGATTTCACGCAGACTAAGCGGAACAAGACGTTGTGGGAGCTCATCTCCGGGAAGATGAAGGAGAAGTCGTACCGGCGAAGCGCGGATCAGTGCAAGTGTAAATGGAAGAACCTCGTCAATCGATATAAGGTTTGTTAATTCGAAACTGTCTTGGTTTTTGTGGGTTTGTGGCTTTCGTAGGGGAGATGTTTTACTTGTAAATGCAGTCCAGTTAATTTTTTCTCTGCTTGTGATGTTTTTGTTTTTCCTCTATTCATTGGGTAATCTTGTCTTTTGATCTTTGCAGCGATCGTTGTGTCTCATTGCTTGTTGAGAAGAGTTGTTGAAGGTTCATTTGTGTTGCAATCAAACGCTCAATTTTTATATTTGTTGAGCGCTTGCTAAATACTAATTACATTTTGGGTCCACGTTGCATGTTTGTGCTGTGTCATTGGGGTTTCAACTCGATTATGGCCATTGATTGATTGATTGGTTGGTTGGTTGATTTTAATTTTTTTCGCGGGTATGTACTAGTACTTGTACTCGATGACCGAATGGAGCTTTAGCTTTGTAATTATTTGCAACGGAGGAACTTTAACCTGAGCGTTGCGTAATGTGCAGGGTAAAGAGACATCCGAGCCTGACAATGGGAGACAGTGTCCTTTCTTCGAAGAACTGCATACGATTTTTGTTGAACGAGCGAAGAACATGGATAGGTTGTTACTGGAATCTGAACCCGGCTCTCGGCCAAAGAAGAAGGTCAAGCGGGGAGAACTGAAGCTCTCTGATGAGGACACTGAAGAAGAAGAGGAGAACAAAGACGACGACGAAGATGAGCGTCTACAGCGTCGGAAAAAAAGGAAATCTGACAAAGAGCGGCAGCGCGTGACAGCCGACAAGTATCGGGCTAACAGCATGCAAGAAGTGCTGGAAGATTTTTTCCAGCAGCAGCTGAAGGCTGAGGCTATGTGGCGCGACATTCTGGACAGCCGGGAGATGGACAGGCGTTTGAAGGAGCGAGAGTGGCAGAAGAATATGGAATTCCTCGAACATGATCGGATTGCTCGAGAACATGCATGGCGAGAGCGGGAAGATGAATGGAGAGAGAGGGAGGAGCTGCGTGCCGAGAAGCAAGACGAGATTTTTGCTCAGCTTTTTACAAAATATGCGCAACGAAACGCTTCGAGATAATCCAAGTAGATATACCTTTAGTATATGGGTCTAGAGCATATTCCTAGGACACCTAAGCCATAGGGACAGCATCGCATGAATTGCCGTGTGTGGTGAAGCGCTCGAACATCTAGTTGCAGAAATGACTGTAGCTTCACTGCATCGGCGATGGGCCTTGTGGGGAGAATTGAGTCTCGACTTCCATGCTGATCCATCGCTCAATTATCTTTGCTGTACGTTGTAGATTTACTGTTCATACGAATCGCAGGACTTCAGACCACAGAATTGGATATCCCTTGTAGCTCACAACTTGTTCATGCAACGGCATGTAGTGAAATATCTCGCTACTTTGAACCTTAAAAACGAAGACTGATCCGTTCAAAGTTTTAAGAGCCATTCTGATGGGTATTTAGTATATTTTAATTCTTATGGAATCGTGCCGATCCTCGCACACAAAATAAAGTAGTTGGTGCCGAGTTCAAGGGCGACAGTAAGAATGAAATCTTAGCACTCACGCATTCCCATTCTATGTCTCAGTTCTATTCCGAATCAACAACAGCAAAGTTGCAGATCCTAAGAAACTCTGAAGAGCAAGACAGTATTGTGGTAGGGTGTTGTAGTAGAGACACCTCCTCGGGTCTAAAGCTGGTCAGTGTACCACTAACTATCCGGCGTGATCCGAAAACCAATGCTTAATCCATAGGGTGAAGGATCTCTCCATCAACTGGAAGGGTACGTTTGGAGGCGAGGTCGAGAATGCAATTTCCAAGGAAGGAGTTGGATACTTTGTAGGGCGAATCCTGGCACAGTCGCACGCCAATTTATAGGGTTGCGAGCTTCATTATTCATCGCATCGGAAATCTCGAGGTTGGAGGTATCCAGGCAAGGGTGCTTTTTCTAAACGTGGAGAAAAATAATACGTTGGGTATCACTGTGCTCACAATTACTATTGTCAGGATAATTTCATTAACATGATTTTGTGGGGATACACAGATGGCTATGTTTTTAAAACCAGAAGGGTTTTTACTGCAATTCGTATTCCACAAAATGATCAGAGCTCTGTTCGAAATATCCACGTTGTGTGAATGTGAAACGGCACTCTGTGGGTGAAAATCGAAGATCTGAGACTAAAATTACGATGATTGATGCATCTTTCCAGTGCCACAGGCGTGATGGCCGTGTCCGATTCCCTAAACAGAACTCATGCTTTGCTTCTTCACGTTGGCTGATTCGTAGAATCGGCGGGAATTGTTCAGAAATGGGGCTTACACTGTAGGAAAGGTTTGCCAGCAAAAATTTGCAAGACCGTATCACTCAGAGCAATCCTTATTTCACTACACAAGTTTGGGGTTTAGATTGCCTGTAACGGGATGAACAGCAAAGAATGTGTTGCAAGCATTAGGATTTTGAATCTCCAGATTTTGGAGTTTTCATGCAACTAATACCCGTAAAATCGACGAAGAGTGTGCATGAGAGGCTTTTGGGTAGTTTCATCTGTTCAAGAAAAACTGGTACTGAGCGCTCGAATTTTCAAACATGACGTCGATCTGTGGTGGGAACCTAATGTTTTGGTCTTCTCTTACAATCCTGCGCTGGTTGCCTTTTCAATTCGCGCGGTTCGTGTAGCCACGCCTTTTATAGCAGCAAGACTGCGGCTCCCGATTCATTTCTTTGGACATCCTCTGTCTGAGGCACCAAGAGCGAGGGATCAGTAGACCTTGTGAAGAGTCGGTTCGATCACTCTTTAGACACGCTGCAATGACATAGACAATCAGGATCCCAGTCCTGAATCCATCCCTTCGCAGCGAAAAACGGCGTTCACGAATGCACTGAGTTGTTCATCGTCGGAGTTCGAACTTTCCCGACACGTTTTCAATGTTTATTTGTATGTTTGCAACTCAAGTACACAGCTGATTGCAACGGAATCGCAAAAAAGCAGCAACTCGTGGCACCAGAAATGTAACGAGAGCGAAACATTTTTCCGTTCTTCGTACGCTGGAATCACTCGAAACACGACGCGACTCTGTGGAGCCACACACCGCAACAACACAACGCAATTTCCAGCTTCAAGAAAACGAACACCATGCACCTCCTCCATCGTCACCACGCTAGCTTTTCACCCAAAAGCAAGCTCCTAAACAACTGCGTTTCGAGTTGCCTACAACATTCAACACAGCGGGGAAATCCTTGCCATCGTAAAGCTGGCTCACGTTTCAAGATCAGTGCGTCTAACGGTTGCATCTGAAGTTGAAGTCCAGCTCAGATCGCTTCGAATACAAACCGCGACAAAAGCCCCCAGAAACCTCACATCACTGTTAGGGGAAAGGATTACGGTGACCAAGACACACCACTATCCGAAGAGAATGTTCGTCCGGTGGAACTGATCCCCACCCCACGAGGAGGAAAGGTTTGCTTGGCTTGGCTTCGCTTTCTCCGAAAGCATCACGGTTTGGATTTATCCCGGACTATTTGTGGTGATGGACGACCAAGTCACCGGGTCCCGCATTTAGAGACGGACCGATTCAACACGGGCGTGGTCCAATCGAAGCGAATTTCTCGCAGCTCAGCTCATCCCTTTGACTCCCATGGATTTCTTGTTCTGTTCCCTCGGGCAATCGAATCTCCCATGCACATACACACACACACACACGAGGACTTTCTTTCCCCTCCCCCCAGCTTTGAAAATTTCCAGCACCCCCCGAGAACTGAAAGCTTCTTGAGGCTTCTCATGCGTGGAAGGGCCAAGGGGGATGTCTTCATAGCAAGAGCTACTTGAGAGCTGGATTGCCGTGCACGATTGGCATGACGTGAATGATTGGCACGATTTCTGTTCTTTGAACGACCAGTTCTTGGGTTAATCGTTGCGTTAATCTGGTCTTTTTCTGCTTTTTTTTCTCTCATGGGGGAGAAGCTTGATTAGGTTACTTAATTCCAATAAGTGCCCAAGGTTGGTTCCTGGGTCTTCGGACCCCCCTCCCCGCAATCTGCTCCCAGCTTTTTCCGTAGTTTTCAAAATTTTGAGTGGCTCAGAACGTTGAGACTGTTCACTAGGGTTTTCCGGCCTTTTCTCTGTCCCGTTTGCGAGCTTTACCCTGGTTGTCTCTTGAAGTGAACGCCAGTCACTTTCCGTCCAGCAATGAATCAATGGTGTAGCGGCTCTGAATTCGCTCTTCCTGGAAGCTCGAGGTGCGACTGAGATTGTATAGTAATCTTGCAGCTTAGGATTGGAAGAGAAAAAGATTAAAAAAATGATATAGAGTGGGAGCGTTTTTCATTTCGAATAGCGAATCTTGCTTGGAGAGTGAAGAATCGTGGGTTGGTGCAGTAGATGTCAGCAAGTTGGAGGTGATGGAAGATGAAGGGGAAGCTAGCTCAGCGTCGGGAAGGGTTGAAATGTCGGGAGAAGGGGATGTTTGTGAGAACTCGAGCAGAGAGGATTCAAAGCTTGCCGAGGACACCAGTATTGAGCAACAAGGCGACGCTAGCGTGGAGAAGCTTACAGAGCCTGAAGTTGCTACCTCACACGTATTGCAATCCCCGTTTTTCGTTTTGTCGTTTTTTCCTATTCAATCAGCTAGAAGAATTTTGCTTGAATTTTCTTCACTCGCCAATCCGGGTCGAGGATTCGGGGGGGGGGGGGGGGGGGGGGGGTTGTTTATCTGGAATGGCGGGCTAAGTCAATTTGTTTTTGCAATTATCGGTAGCTCGACACAAGGAGCTCTCTGTTCTGTTGAACCAGTTCTTTGTTGAATTCGTAAATCTCCAGCCATCGCCCTCGCTTTCAATTGACTTCTATGGAATGATGTAGCAAAGATTGCTTACTTTTTTGCTTCGAGATTAGAAAATGACGTAGAATTCCCAACCACAAACTGGGTTAGAAAATGATTCCTTCAACAAACTTGGATGTGGGTTGCAGAATCCAGGGGAAAGCACGGATGCGAGTGAGAAGAAGAACTTCCCCACGTTCACATCGGGGAAGCGAAAACCCGAGCTGGAGGATCTTCAGGAAGCAAATTCCATCCGTAATGACGAGCGAGGGGATTCAGGAGGAGCTGTACATAAGAGTGAATCAACACCGATTGCTACTACTGGCAACGAAGGCAGCGCCAGTGCGACAAGGGACGCAGAGGAGGATCCAGTGCAGGAGGTCATAGAAGCTGGGTCCTTCGTGGGCACTGACGATCAGTCCGAGCGATCCCCGGCAGATGACGTTTCGGAGGCATCATCATCCTTCGTGCACGTCTCCAGAGGAGGGTATGAGGAGCGGAGCACGCCGCAGCTGGAAGACAAGGAGAGCAGCAGCAGCAGCAGCCTAGAGAAGGAATGCGAGTCTGTGGTGATGGAGATTGCGGAGCGCCTCTCGCAGCTGCGTAGCATCGGCAAGTCTGCAGAATCCGCCCGGAAGTATAACTTGGAGCCTCCAGGTATAATCCTCGCCACAGTGTTTGCTCTTTTCTCTATTCTATTCTATCCCACCAAACCCGGTGCTTGCATGCTGTTCTCGGCGTCTAGAGAGAGACTTGCAGGTCTGTGTCGGTGTTGAGGGTCAAGAAAGGTGGAGAGATGAACCCATGAACATGAATTCAACTTGTGTTTTACAAATTCATTGACCTGAGTCCCATTCCAGGAAGTTATTTTAACAGAATTGTGTCGTGTTTTTGTTAAGATGTGTTTTTGTTGTGTTTTCTTTTCAAGTCGTGTTTTTTCATTGATTGGGTTTTTATCTTGCTATTGTACAAATATTTTCTATTAGATGCAAATATGGAAGAAGTGGATTTAGACAATGATATGTCAAGTGTGTTGGGACCAAAACGACTTGATTTTGAGGTGATTGATTTTGATCAATTTGGAGTTCAACCGCCGGATTTGCCATTAAGTGAAGACTCCAAGCATGAAGGAAAAAAGACAAAGTTAAACCATGGGATGGTTAGCTTGCATGGCAAAAATGTTGGTGTCGTACTTGAGCAAGGTTGGTCTTTTGCATATTGTTATAGTGTAGTCTTAGTGTATTTTTATTTAATGTTAGGTGGAAAATATTATTGCATTTGATGTTTTGATTAAATTGATTTTTATTTTTTGATTTATAAAATATCAAATTTGTTCATTAAGGATTTGATTATGATTCTATATGTTTCTATCTACTAGAATATTTACACAAAGTAATTATGTTTTATTAACAATTGTGTTATGTGTAGGAATGAAGGAACTACATGACAATCCTAAAAGGACAAGTTCAAAGGAACCATTTGGAAAGAAGCAACTTCGAAAAGATCAAGGTATTGAACATGGTATAGATACTTGCATTATATTCAATAAAATCAATTTTAATGATTTATTGTATTTTTTATTTCAAAAAATAATTATAAATATAATTATCTAATAATTATGCAACATAATGGTTGAACAATATTGATAGAAATATATTTATAAATATAGAATTGAATTAATAATTTAATTTTTTAATTTCAATTTTTTTAATTATTATTTTTGGTATTAAGTGTAAGTGGTAAATATTTTTGGACATGGTTTTGATGATTTTCAGAGAACAAACGAGATTTGGAGTCTCGACTAAGTATTGGTAAAAATTTGGAGTCTAGATTGAGCATTGGAAGCTCCAAGCCTCGACCATTAGAAAGTACTATGAAGTTGAAGAAAGTGAATGAATCTACAATTGGAAGTAAGATTTATTCTACCTATTTATGTTCTTGTTTGATATTATTATTTTTCAATTTTTTTTTTTATAAAGTATTTATTTCATTACATTAAAAAAGATTATATTATAATACTTGTATTATTTTAGGTATTTTTGTTTCAAAGTAACATGTTTTTATTATTTATTTTTATTTTTATCTCATTTTTATAACGTATTATTAAATTGTTGTTTGGTATTTGAAAGCAATAGATAACACTTTAATTAAATTCAATTATTCATCCTAATTATTAACTTTGTCTTTTGGGTGATTATTTTTGTATAGGTCCTATAAGAAAATCAAGCAATAAAATACTTGTAACTCAAAAATCTTCTCCAATTGAAGAAACTCCAAGACGTCATATACATGTAGATCTTAATCAACTCATTCAAAAACAAGCAAGACAACTTGATGCAATTTGCAACCGAGTAGATTTATCTACTGCACAATTAAAGGAGCAATCCAAAAGACATGAAGAATTCAAACTTAAACTTGATGTTGAATGTGGAGAGCGATTACAAAATGAAGTAAAGATGATGGAGTTGCATGAAATATTGCCCACCATGGAGGATAAATTGAAGAGTTTGTATGATCAAGTATCATTATTGAAGGTACAATTTGAGGAGCAAATTGACTTAAAGAACAAGCTTGAAGAACAATTGAAAGAAGATCACAAGGAAAAGATTCATCTTTTTGTACAAATGGAGAAGGAGATTGATGTGAGGAATAAACTTGTAGAAGATTTGCAAAATGAAAACAAAGAAAGGGCATTGCATAGTGCACAATTGGAGCAACAAATAAGGTTGCATGAAGCATTAGAACACAAGCTTGAGGAGGAAAGAATAGAGCGATGGAAAAGTGATGCAAGATTGATGGTGCTTTTTGAGATGCTACCTAATATGGAGAAAAAAATGGGTGAGTTTTCTAACCAAATAGAGTTGTTGATTGTGCAACTTCATGGACAAATCAAGTTTGTAAAAGAACTTGAGGAGAAATTAGACCAAGAATGTAGAAACGGGGGACAACTTATGACAAAGTTAGAAGAGCAAAAAGTTACCTATGAAAGGTTGGTGCACAAACAAGAGGAAGAGATGAAGTTTAGGAAAGAACTTGAAGAGAAGGTGGACCAAAAATGCATGGAGAAGATGCAATATGTGGTGGAAATAGAAGAACAGAAGAAATTGCATGAAGAATTAAGACATCAATTGAAGAAAGAGATTGAATTGAGAAAAGAGCTTGAGGAGAAGTTAAATGAAGAATTTAAATTGCATACAATAAATATGAAGAACCAAAATACAATATATAAAGAATTGGCACAAAAATTAGAAGAAGAGCAACAAGAGCGGCTGAAGTGTGAAATCAACATGAAAGGATATTATGAAAGATTGTCCAACAAGGATGAACAATTAAAGGAGATCCAAGACCATGTCAAGTCATTGGGTGCTCAACTTCAAGAGCAAATAGAGTTGAGAAGGGAACTTTTAGAGAGGTTGGATCAAGATTGGGAGAATAGAAGGGAAAGTGATGCAATGGTATCCAAGCATTCAATGGCATGGTTAGAAGAGAGATTGGAGTTTGCAAAGTTTCTGGAAGAACAAAAAGTGTTGTTGGCAAATCAAATGAAAGAAGCAGGGAAGCAGAAGAATGTGCCCAAGAAGAAAGTTAGATTTCTTCATCATGTAAGCTCACTTCTCAATGAAACTAATTAGTCAATTTGATTTTCTGTTTCTCAATAACAGTCATGAAACTTCTTATTAGACATGTAAGAGCTTTATTTTTCCTCTAACCTTTCTTTTATGTAAAATTACATGATTGAAGGTAAACAATTTGGAGGTGCCATCAAATATCACAAAATCCGCAGACGTTGCAGTCAATGCTAAAGATCAAGCCATAAAGCAAGTATTGTGGACACTGTTTCAAGCCTTGGGTCTAGGTATTGGACTGCTGTACTTCATTGTTTCATACAATGATCACATGTTGATTCCTTTACAACCAACTTAGCTAAATTTCCACTTGGTTTCATTTCATTCATTTTGTCCCTGTACGTTAATTTTGTACCATATACTATACCTTCTATCAAACTTGTAAGTGTATCCTTTGTAACCAGCATAGTATAAGTTGAAAATGACTTGTGGGTTGTGTATTTTATGCAATATAAGATCCTTCAATCTTGTACTTCAATATATCCATGTCTTGTATCTGTTCTTGATGTTATACCATTGATTTTTTTCTTTTGTTTTGGGTTTTTTCAGTTTTTTTTACATGCATTAGGATGGTTTTTTCTAATGGATAAAGATCTTTGATACTTTTGGTTACATTGTATAGTACTGTAAATGCTATGCAAGTGAATCCAATTATTATTATTATTATTATTTTTGCCCCTTCAAACATTTTTGTTGCTACTATATTTTGAAATTCTACGTTTTTTAAGACTTGAAGTTCGTCTGATCATTCAATACTAGTCTCAAATATTTGAATCCTCAAAAATTTTAAACCTTTTATTATATTTTATTTTTACTTTTTATCTGAAACAAGCATGTGTACCACATTTACTCACTGTTAAATAATTTAAGTAGAATTATGGTCAAGATTGCAAGTAATTGTCATTTAATCAGTATCAGTAGTATTTGAAGGGGTCAAAATGTTTTATTCATGTTTGTGCAATTTTTGAATTCATGTTGAAAAACATATACATACATTATTCTGATTTATTATTACTATCATTATTCAATATTATATGTACTTTATATAAAGTGTCATTGTAGGAAGTATATTGTAACATCTATGAAACTATTTATTTTTTTTGAAAAAAAAATCTACATAAATATACTGAAACTTGATTTCGTACGTTTCTGTATTTTAGATGATATTTTCTTTACCCAACACTGTTTTGCAAAAAATAGTTTCTTCAAGTATGTAATTTTTTTTCAATTATGTAATAATTAAGGACTTTAAGAGCTTATATGTGTAGGTTTAAGCGACTTTAAGGATTTCTTTTAAAGAAATATGTAAGCTTGGACTGTCAATTTATCACTTAAATACAAAATATCAAAACAAAAGTCTCAATAGAAAGCTTCTATGTCCCCAATTACATTATGACAAACACCCAACATCAGAAAACATTGACAAACAAATTAATGATAATTTTAAATGTACTTTTTTTCCAACTTCCCATTTGAGTTGTAATATTTTCAACTTGAAAATTTAAATATTCCTGGATAGTCTGGATCTAATTAACAATATAGCACCTACTAATGAACAATTGTTCAAAATCAACATTAAGATACAAATGAATGACTTTATGTCCATCAAAACATCATGATATGTATACATCAAATTTGATCGAAGTATTCAATGAATTGACTACTTTGGTATGAAGCCATCTCCACTAAAGTATGAGCTACATAGCCAAAGTAAGGGTTTAGAGAACTTTGAAAGATGTGATCACAAAGATTGAATTATATCATATTTTTTGTTCTTGTATTCCTTTACCAAATATTCTTGATCTCACTATATTTTTCACACTCAATTTCAAATCCACTCTGCCTTACATCAATATTTCACCCACTTTCATTCTATTTATTATTTCATTTCTTTTTTTATTCAGCCTACTGTCATTGGTTCAGTGTGGAAATGTTTTAGTTGCTACTCTATCTGATTATTTTGGGCAACTTTGAGAGTTTTGTTCTGTTTTGTAGAAAACTTAATTGGTATACACAAAGATTTGAAAAATCCAAAAAAGGGAAACAAACGAAAGCTGTTTTGTCCATGTAGTAAATACAAGAATTGTTTTAATTTATTTTTAATGGTTTCTAACCCAAAAACATATCATCAAGGAACCTTTAAAATAATGTTTAATTTAATCCGTTTTCACAGAATCATCTACTAAATTAGCATGAAATGTTCGTACTAATGTACATGAATTATATTTTTCAATGAATGTTCAGCTTACAAACTATTGGATTTTTCATCCATCAATCAAGCAACAAACCATTTGCCAATGACCATGTAATGTGAACATTTTCTAACTTTCAAAGTTTCAAACTTGGCTTACAGATCTCCATTGTTCAAAGTTTTAATGTTTGGCAATGTTGCGAAGGTGTAAGCGTTACGTTTTGACGCTGATATGCTGTAATTCCTGTATTACACAATAAAATTGATTGTTGAAACTGTAATGAAATCAAAATAATCTTAATCGAAAGACCAGAAAACTTGCCACCCAGAAACACCCATTTGTCTCAGCTCATTATTATCCATATCACCACTCTGATGTTGGAGTTTTTACACCAAACATTTGATCATCCTGAACCTCACAGGTTACAATATTTCCCAAGAGTTGTATTGTTCCAACGTTCAGGAGATGAAAACAACCTATTCTGGAATCATCTCATGAGCGGACACACACGGAAAACCAGAGCCTAATTAACTAAATCTTCAATCTATTTTGTAATAAGATGGATGCATGTGGATTCCATCTTCCCACTGCATGAAAACTTTCATGAGGTCGGCAAATTCTACCTGTATTCCTTTTAGATGACTTCAAAATACCCTCTCTTCAATCGGCTTACTTGTGTCAACATTCGCAATAGTGTTGCCAGTGCACAGAAAACTTTTCCAGCGGCTAAATAGAATAGAGAAAAGTATTAAGAAAAGTGAATATACCACAATTTGAGCCACAATTTATACGTACACACATATATGTACATACTATTTTTTCATGTTGGATTGACTCACGGGTGGAAAGTACACTCATCTGGATTGCCAGTTGAGAAAATCGCAATCGGATACAGCGGAGTTGATACAGTTACGGATGTTGAACGCTGTTGGGAATGTGACAGTTTTCTGTTTCCACGGTCCCAAGGGTCGCATGAATGGAAATTGTCCTTTCAAGTGCCACCAATTTGGTCAAAAAGCTCCGAGACATCACTGGACATCATCGGGCTTGCCTCTTCCCATGCCCTGGTGCCTTTCGTATCCGCCAAACGATGAGTGCCCCGAATCACCATGAACCGGCTGTTGCACCCTTGCAACACCTCTCGTTCAGATGTTTTCCTCGTTCTCTAGGTTAGTTCACAACTGATGTGCTTCAACCACCAGCACAGTAGCACTTTGTTGAGCTATCCCAGAACTCATGAACCCTAAACTCGGCAAACCCTCTCATGGGCCATGAAGCATGATAGGAATCTCACCTGTAGGAATCGCCATCTTCTCATCGGTTTGAGAGCACGCTTGAGAAGCCTTGCTTGGTTCTTTTCGCCTCTTCATGTGGAGACCCGAGGTTCAACTGGCCAGCTGAGTTGATTGTAGATGATTCCTGCAAGCTTTGAACTACCATATCAATTTGGGGGCCGAGGACCACGCCATGCACTACGACTTGAACTCAGCCTGTTGCAGTCCACTGATAGAAGATTCTTAAGTGGTGCTGGAAAAGGAATGATTCTCAGATAATCCAACCATGTCAGTACAAGTTGTGATAGCACCTGCTGCCATTGCTAGGGTTACCCGTTCGTCTTGGCAAGGCTGATGAGTGGTGGCTCTACCGATGGGTACATACTCAACATCCTCTATTGATCACCAAATGCTTGAAGGATTCTGAGACTTGTTGCTGTTGAACCTCGTCACAGGTCTCTGAGGCATGTCCGACATGGGCATCCGTTGAATGGTCGTGCTCATGAGTGTGAATCCTTTTTCCTACTTGTGGGTTGCAGAAAAAGGATTGCTGAAAAACAGGTCATGTTGGATCAGGTGAACCCAAGAGCTGACAAAAAAAAATTACACGCATCCTGCTTGTCTGGTCTCATTCAAGATGTATGCCTCATTCAAGATGTATGCTGCTTGTTTATCCTTTGAGGTGGTGTGTTCAATCGCACCAGGGTGGCCCTTGCCATGCCCTTGAGAACTATACTAGACATAGCTTGAAACCCCTCGATGAGAGAAATAGGTCCATCCAAACATAAATGAATAAATAACAAAATTAACAAACAAAACCTCGTTATATCCTCCTGAATGTCAACTACACCTAGAAATCCTCCTCCTAGTGGCTCGAGAGCCTCTTTTGCAAGACCCAAGTAACGGAAACTCACAACAACACATAGATACTCCCACTAAACCTCACAGAACATGAACATGGACATGAAATGAGAATGAAAATGAAATGAAATTGGAACCGAGGGTGCATCAAATCCTGTCGACGTAGAGAATTGCATAATTAACTCGCAATCTGTTTGGGTTCCCAGTGCAACTGCTGCCACCTGCACCATGCAAGCCATTGCACTGGAGAACCTCCAACTCCGCCTACGGAGACTTCTACGTCCGCGTTCCTGCCGAGGTATGTCTCCTCCTCCTCCTCCGCCATTCTTCCTCGCCTCCCTCTATCCTCACTCTCTCCTGCCTTCCCCTCCACATCCACATGTCTGGAATGACACAACCATGTGCCCTGCAACAGCAAACCAACATGCTTGACCTGAGAAAACCCACCCCTCATAGCCAGCACCAACACCAACAATAACAACAAGCCATGCGTATGTATGTGTCTTGTCTCATTACCCACTGTATTATGAGAACATAATGAGCCTTGAATTGCAGTGCACCAACAACAACAACAACAAGGGCGTGGGTGCCGAAGCCTCCTCCAGCTCCATCTCCATCTCGAAGCCATGCTCCTCCAGGTCCTTCATTGTAGATGGCTCCACTGCAATAGCAGCAGCAGCAACATCAACAACAGCATCAACAAGGGCAGCGATGAAGGAGGTGCAGGACATGAAAGCAACGCTGGAGTGCCTGGAAATGAAGCTCCGATGCAAGACTCCCTCCAAAGCAGGCACTGTCCCAAGCCCTCTTCCTCTCTCTCGCTATCTCACTATTCCAATCTATCAATAAATAAATATATATATATATATATATATATATATATTAATATTTCTGCAAATGTATCCTCACATGTATCCAAGGTATAGATTAATTGATTGGTTTGTTAGTTAGTTCAATCAAAGGAGCAATGGAGAAGATGTGATTGCAAGCTCATGTACAAATGTGTCATGTTGAGTGCTTGAGCATGAATTGTGTGTGTATCACTCTGCTATCCAAGAGAAACGAAAAGAACATATATATATATATATATATATATGTTAGCATTGTGAGAGTGGGTTAGTGGTGGTGGTTTTCATGGGAACAAGAAATTGAATATTTTGTTGTGGAATTTGATAATGTGCTGAGTTTTGAATGAATGTGAATGGTTTTGTTGAAACTGATCTGTGATGAAAATTTTTGGTGTTTAGTAGTTGAAAGTTTGTGGTGGTGGTTTGAATTGTTATTCGTTGCTTTAAATTGACGAATGTATAATGTGTGATTTTAATAAGCTTGACTAGTTGTTATGTGGCTTTTTTCTTCGTCTTCTTCTAGTGTTTTATGATAAGTTTGCAATAATTTTTTTTTAAAATCATATTATTCAATTTGGTTGTAGATTCTATTGTACCATTGACTTCGAATTCTGATTTGGCCTTTTTTTCACCTAAAGAAGAAAAATGCAAAAATTCAAGTGTAAATTGTACATGGAAATGCAATCCAAATGATCTGATCAACAAAAATAAATATGACCAAATTGAAAAACATGTCTTCCAATCCTCTCATGAACCTATAAAAACAAAATGTATTCAACTACCAAAACAATTGATACATCCCAAGCCATGGTCAAAATCATGTATTATTAGAGAAGAAGACAATTTACTATTAAGGTATAATATGTATGTATAATGTTATAAAATTACCTTAATATAATATTATAAATAATTTATATATGTTTAAATATATTAAAAGTTTGAATTTTTTTTTTGTGGATGAAAATAACAAGAATGATGTTAATAACCAATGATTTAATCAAATGTCCATATTTGTTGTATCAATATATCTTGATATTTTAACTTCTTTACAATGCTCGTTGCAGTGAAATAATTTGTAATGAAATTTCAGATCCTTGTAGCAGTTTTAGCTCTTACAAAGGTTCAAATAAAAATGGTTCTACGAAAAGTAAACCCAATAAAACCTTGCAGTTGAATGCCAAGCAAAAGATCAAAAAACTCAAAAATAAGTCACCTGAATGTTCAAAAAAATTTCACTTCTCAAAATATTACGGTAAATTGATATCTATAACTGCTTAAGTTTAAAATCATTTTTTTAAAAAATAATAATAATAAATTATATGTATATGTAATGTGTTCCAAAAGACAATCATTTAAGTTTTACTAGTTTTTATTGTTATTATTGTCATTACTAGCATGTATTTCAAAGGACATTATGAATTTAAAATTCTTCTAGGTTTTGCCACACGAACTTTTCGTCTGTCATTATTTACATTGTATCAATGTAATTAATATTATGAAATTTTAAATAATCCTTTTAAATCTATGTGTAGAAATTTTTTCCAAAGGATTTAATCTAAATGATATTTTTCATGGAGAATATCAATGCATGTATGAAAGTTACTTAGAAGATATTTTTCCACGTGTTGAATCTCACCTGCTTTCAACTTTCGAAAACTGTTTTGCAACAAATAAAATCAAACCTCCACAGCATAAACAATGTCTAAAAATAAGAAACAAAAAGGCCAAAGATAATAAGTTTAGCTCGGATTTTATTGTTTCTAGAAATGAAATTTCAAGTTCTTTTGGAATTGAAAATTTTAATTCTAAGAAACTAAATGACAGTAAAATTCCATCTATTCTTGAAAATAAAAAAGCCAACCTATCATCTTACTCACAAAGCACCCAAACAATTCTTTTGAAGGAAGAAGATAAAACAAACATTCAACAAATCTCAAAAAAAGAAAACAATCTAAATATTCAAACAAGTTCCTCTCAACCACTTTTTTTCAAAGATGAAGATTTGAAACAAGGTGATGATAAAAGTATATTCAAACCTCAATCACCTTGTGAATTTGATAAAGCACTTAGTCCAAAAGATCAAGATTTGGAACAATATGATGATAAAATTTTATTTGAACATCAATTACTTGGTGAATTTGATGTGCCATTTGTTTTAGATAAGAAAGATTTGGAACAAGGCAATGACCAAAATTTAGTAAAACCTCAACTACCTTCTGAATTTGATAACTCATTAGGTCCAAAACATAAAGATTTGGAACAAATTGAAAATAAAAGTTTATTAAATCCTCAATTGTCTCAAGAGTTTTATAAACCACTTTACTTGAAAAATGGAGATTTGAAACAATATAATGAAGAAAAATTATTAATGCACCAATCACTTGGTGAATTTAATAATCCAATTCCTTCAAGTAATCAAGATTTAGAAGAAAGAAATAATAGAAATTTATTAACATCCCAATCACTTGGTGAATCTCATAATCCAATTTATTCAAAAAATAAAAATTTGAAAGAAGATAAAAATAAAAATTTGTTAAATCCTCATTCACCTCTAGGATATAATAATCATCTTTGCTTGGTAAATAAAAATTCAAAACAATTTGATGATAAAATTTTGATAAAACCTCAAATACCTCGTGAATTTTATAAACCACCTTGCCCAACACATGAAGATCTGAAGCCCCAACCACCTCACAAATTTGATCAACCAACTTATTTTAGAACTCGACATTTGAAACAAAGTGTTGAAAAAGATGTAATAAAATCTCAATTAATTTGTGAATTTGGTAAAACACTTGGTATAAGAAACCAAAATATTAGACAATGTGATAATAAACAATCACTAAAACCTCGATTACTTTGTGAATTTGATGTTTTTTTGAGAAAAAACAATTATACATGTGATAATTTGCCAAGCACTTCAAATGCTTCCATGAGTCTGGATGAAGTAAAAAAATGTGAGAACTGTGTAGATGTTAAATGTGAAAAAAGAGACTCGAGTTGTTATTTGGAAACCAAATTTGAACTTTTCAGAAAACATTAATCTTTAAAAATGATTTGGTTTATTTACTTTCTCTTTATAAACTTAGTCCTAAAGTAAATGTGATAATAATTTTTTTTTTATTAAAAGTATAAAATGTAGAATAAACACCTAAAAAAACCAAATTTTAAAAAAGAAAAGTACTACTTTGACAAATCATTTTATAGCACCTAAGCAATCCAAGTTATCAAGCTTTAGTACAAAATATGATATAAACGTGAACAAACTCATAATGGTTTCTAGTTTAAGAAACTTATTCCAATAAATAAACTTAAGTTATGAACTATAAATAAATATAAATACAATTCTCTCATACAGAAAAAATAAAATAAAAATAAAAATGAATGCAGCAATAATCTTCATAAACTTAAGTTTATTTACTGGAATAAGTAACTCAAGTTTAAATTTCATATAATAAAACTGAATGCAGCAATAATCTTCAAAAAATGTAAATGTAAATGCATATAATTAAATTTTAATAGCCATATCAACCGCAATTAAGTTATCTTCCAACTAAAATGTAAATTTATCTGTTTGATGCTAAGTGAGTAATTGAGAAAAATTACATACATTATCTTCTGTTTTTTTTTTCCTTTTTTCCTTATTTTTATTTTTATTTTTATTGGTGATGCTTTCAGTTGTTTCACAAAATGTATATAGCATGTCCGTATTGAGAGCTTTTTTTGTAACACATTGATATCATTAATTGACAAGATTGAGCTCATAATGAGAAACAGATGAAAGTAAAATTTTTTGTAGACTTCTAATTGTATGATGAGAATGATTGGCAAAGTGCTAACAAAAGATATTATATATATAATATATACAACAGCTTAGGTATAAGACAAAAAAGTCTTCTCATTGCCCAAACATGAGAACAAGGGAACAAGAATGAACAAAGGGAATGAATGGATTACAAAGCTAGAGATTGTGGTGCCCAATGGCATGGATTTCTGCTATTATATATATATATATATATATATATCCATACATACATGTATACATACATACATACAGGCATATTATTAAAAAATAACTAAAATTTAGAATAATTTTATAAAAAAAAATTAACCTAGAAAATTTGCACTCTTTTTCTTTTCCAATAATATGAAGTAAGGTAATTTATATTTAATTTAGTTTTAAAATCAATGTCTAACAATTGTACTACAACCATTTTGCATTAGTAAGTCTAAAAATCAACTCAATAAGTATCAAGGAAGTATTTTTTTTATGATATCATAGCTTTTTTTTTTTTTTTTTAATTGAAAAACACCACAGAATAAATTTGAAAATATATCTGAACATAATTTACAGTCACAATTATTTTTTTAAATGTTTGAAGAGTGGAAAATTGTCTGGATTGCCCTAATGTAGAAACATTTCACTACTATGCAATATAAAGTTTTTCTTTTCAGGAAGCTTAAAATTATATTTAAAGATACTAATTATGAATAATAACAATAATAATAAGAATGGTAAAAATCGTAAGACATACACATGGTGAATCCATAAACTCCCTTCATAGCACATGAAAGTCGTGCAAGTTTCTTTAAATAAATCTATTAAAGGCAAAACTCCATTATTTTTAGAACCCATCAAACCCATGTTCATAACCATGTCAGTTTTATGTTTATGTAGTCATTATAAGTTGTGGCACGGCTAATAAATTGTTTTTCATTTTAAAATACTAATACTGTTGTCATTAACTTTTGTTTACATTCTCTTCTTCATTACATCTTAAATGTAATACTACCTCAAATTTATCACAGTTTTATATGATTTATAATAGTCGTTTAAGATTTTAGAACATGGAATGTAATTGTTTCCTTGAAGGAAAAAGTTAAAAAAAATTCACAAGATTTATTGCCCTCAATGCAAAACACAATTGGCTCCCAAGTTGAGTAATTATGTTACAACTCTTAAAAGATGTTTTGAAAAAAGAAATCCTGGGGTTACTTTGTATGGTTTTAATTGTATTCAATTTTAAAATAAAAAGGTGAAAGAATAACCATAAATGTTACATCCCAAACCGCTACTGCTTGTAATTCGTCGGTAAACGAGAGTACATTTATCGGGCAGAAAATTTAATGAAACACGAACAAGCGTTTATCGTTACCTTGCATACTTCGAGTGAAAAAAGCTTGTGGTAGCGGTCAACAGTAGTCAATCCTAAGAGACCGAAGTAGAAAATTATAAATCTTTAAGACCAGGGAGTATTACCACTTCATGAACAACACAAACAACCTCAGAGCTAAACATGCACAATAAGAAAGAAAAGTTCGACTACTTTCCCTATCAATGCGTATGTCCTCAAAACCAACAACAATTGATGATCAAATCCATTAATTCAATTGCTAGGTGAGGTCAGTCTACGTGAAGAAAACGGAGTCCAATACAGAAATCACAGTAAAAAGACTACGAGGCTGTGCAATCATTCAACAGAACCTTACACAGACATAAATCTTAAAGCGATAACAAAAACTAACGGCGAGGTAGTATGTCTTGTCAATCACCCACCAACAACCAGCAAGGAAGGTCATTAGATATAGTTACAACAGGAAAGAGAGCAGATCATCAACACAACACATTTCATTCGGATAAAACAGAAACACTCCACCCTACCCCCCCCCCCCCCCAACCCTGCAGATATGTACGTATACAGTTGTTGGTCGTCTCTGTTAAGTGCCGTGTCAATCGACTCAGATAAGCTACAGCTGGATCCTTCTCTCGTGGTATACATCAGTCTCTTCCCAAGCAAAACTGTTCCAAGGTGCAACTTCTCGCAGAATTTGATGGGGCTTTACTACAGAGCAAAATTGCAGAACTTGCAAAGGCAAATTCAAGTGGACACATGGTACAAGTATGGTACACGATGACATGGTACAGGAAAGGTACCGGAGCCGTAAATGTACAGAGAATCATATCTCTGACTGTCATAGCTCTCTGGAACCGAAGGTGGATCACCTTCTGGGAGCCCCCAGCGCAAAAAGTCAAGCCTCAAATTTTGTTAGTGGTTCTTTTTGGATTTTTTACATCATCTGGAACCTTTTGGTGAGTCCCGTCGTTCGGATTGTTGGAGAAGATCGTAGTTAATAGATGCCAGTTGGGATAGATTCTGTTCCAACGCAGTTCCAATTGCATGAGTGAATGAAAGATGAGACTTATTAGATATAACAGAAAATGAGGTATGACACGTCATCCACTTAATCGGAGCTTATGACAATCAGTAAAAACATTCACAACATATACGAAACTAAACGGACCAGAACGAATTAACAAACCTCAAACCAGCTTGAATCTAAATCACAACAGATAAATGTGAAATTGGTGGAGCAAAAAAAATTAAAAATAACATCTATTACCTTGAAAGAGAAGTTGCTGAAGGTATATTTACAGGAGGATGAACTTTCAAACTCAGCCATGTCTCCGCACTCATCCCTCTGCAAAACCAATATCGACTCGATTAACTTCAACAAAATACCGATTCAGAACGAAACCGAAAATATTTGTTTACATGTTGAAAAAACATCAGGAAAAGTCGCCTTAAAATTTTAAACTCGGTTCATTAAGAGCTGATTTTTGTTAAGTTGTGCACAATACTTTGTTAGGTTGATATATCTGACCAGCAGGAATTCGAAGTCTTGGTTTTCATTATTGATCATAGTTACTTGACAAATTGCACTTACCACAAATTTATGGCTTTTGGGTACCGCAGCGTTATTTGGGTCTTTCATTGGCTTGCGCGTAACCTAGACACATTATATTGTGACTCATTTATTGATTATCGTATACATTTCGGCTTTATTGGGACGACATCAAAACTAATCTTACTTCACAACAGAATATATTTGAGCATAATAAGACTTGAGACATGTCATTTAGGCTATGTGGTGGTTAATCTAGTTCAATTCCTCCACGTCTTCATTATTCTGAAGTGTCACTAACATGACTCATTGAGGTGACAAGGTCAAAAGTCGTCACAATGCGTGACTCAAGTCAATTATCGAATCAAAAGTTTTGAGTTTTCCAATATTTTCGCGTCGAACTGACCGCATTGACGATAAGATTCGAGCCTTACCGCTTCTTCGGGCCTATCATCAGAATCACTTGTGCTGCCACTGCTAGTGCTTTCATCATCACTTTCGTCAAAGTGAGGATCAGGTTCAAAATTGCCCTCATTAGAATTCCAAGCATACCGAGATGCGAAGTAACTGGTGTCATGCGCTCCGTCGGGACTTGGAATAAATGCAGCCTGAAAAATCAAGCCTCAAGGTGTTAACGTGTGCGCGACAATCTCAACTTACATAACACATAACTTACATACACCTAAGATATAGTAGGGGGGGGGGGGGGGGGGGGGGGGGGGGAAACCAAAAAAAAAAAAAAAAAAGGAATAACGACCAGAAACACTAGCAACTGTAGAGAGGAAAGCCCTCACTTTTTGCCTGGCAAGTGTGTCCCAGTTGATATCCTTGAAGAAAGGATGAGCCTTCACCTGCAATACAATTGGATGTACATAAAAATTTATAAACTGGTAACAATCTTCAATTAGAAAGTACAACTGACAGATGTACTAATAACATTAAGTCCCCTGGAATCCTGCACTTAGCAATACCGGGTAAACGGACAACTAAAGCAGCCTTCGAACAAAATTCCAGAAAACTTGTGTGCGCGTGCACACACATACGGAGTACAAAAAGTACCTCTGCAGCACCCTTGGCACCAAGACGTTCATTAGGATCCTCGGTCAAGAGTCTGAAAATGAAGGAAACGCTTAGACTTAGATATGATAACCCTGGGTATCTGAAGTACACAACTACATTACAAAAACTGCAGCTTATAAGCTATTGGCTGGTAAGTAGAAGATGCCTACAACAACTACAAATGCATGGAGTCATAACTGAAGTTAAAATATTCATCAAACGTACTGCATGTGCACGTCTAGGTAAAAAGCGGAGTTCTGAATGTTAAGGCAATTCGTCTATTGTATACAGTTCAATCTTTAAAATACAAACGATGCTGTGTATATACTCACTTGTCGATCAAATCTTGGGCCTCATGGGACATGTATTCTGGAACTGCAGGCCAAGGAATATGTCGGTTCAAGATGTTGTCAAAGATGATCTGCACGAGTTATACACCACAACCAATCAGGTCACACATGCGCAATCCACGTAAGGTTTTAAAGACTAATTTTTTTGCTTACCAAACTTTCATATAAGAGAAAACGACCTTGTGCTTTCTAAGCAGGTATACTTCGGTTTCAATAAATACGCTCGTAAAACATTACGACCATATACCTGAGGATATTCCGCGTTAAATGGAGGAATGCCTGTTAGAAACTCAAAAAGAATAACCCCTGTGGACCACCAGTCAGCAGCAGGACCTGCGAATTCAGTAGCAATGTAAGTGCTTAGACCAATCACGCGTTTAACTACAAGTATCAGGTTTAAGTAATTGGAGCTCAAAGTTTGTATCAAAAGTTAATCGTGGTATGTTAGCATACCTCAAGCACAAAATTCAAGTCACAACATAACATATCAACATTATAAGTGGCTGTATCATAATAAAATTACACAAAATAGTTCTGTATTGTTGAACACAATACCTTACGATATTAAGGAATACAAAACCTGACTGCTGAACAACGATCAGAAACTACCAATCCAATCAGGTTTATCCAGAAAACCACTACAGTATTATGACATTGCAGGAAAGACGCCTCAACACAAAAGCATGAAGATTACACTCAGTATACTCCGAGTAGAATCATCATGCGAACTTACCATGGGAAGTCCCGAGTAAAATTTCTGGAGCTAAGTAATCAGGGGTTCCCACAGCCGAACGCTGTTGTCGTATCTTTCTTTGATGCACATGCTTAGGAGAAAGACTCTGGTTTTTCACAGATTCCTCCATAAGCATAGTCCCAGCTGTAGCAGGACCTGATAAATCATCTGTACTGTTGATAAGGCCTACTCTCGAAAGACCAAAATCTGTGAGCTGCACAGCATTAGCGGTGACTCCGTTGTAAGAACATGCAGAAATGGTTACTGAGCCAAAAATAACATCAAGAAAGTGACTTTCATTACTGCAAGTCAATGTTCTAAATTTATATTTCTGTTGTTCCAACAACAGAGATGGAAACTCAAACGGATAAAGCGGATGTGTAGAGCCAATCATACTGTTAGTATAATATGTTATCAGTGAATTACCTTGATGTGGCCGTCATGAGCAATCAAAATGTTGTCTGGTTTGAGATCTCGGTGTACAACACCTAAGGAGTGCAGACATTCCAATGCTAACACCTGACTCAACTCAAAAATAACTGGAATTAAAACAATGACAAGCAAATACTCATCCAACCACCAATAATATGTTACTAAGGTGCTATAATAGAGAAATGTTCAGAACTGCGTGATGAACATGATGTGCGCAGTCTTACCATAACCAGCAAACACTTGTAACGATAGACCAGCTTACGAAGAAGGGTGACCTTACCAGTTCTGCTACATACACACGAGCCAAACTTTCCTCCAAATATCCAAGATTTCGCAACATGGAGTACATGTCGCCACCATTCAGATATTCCATTACCAGGTAAAGGTTATCCCGACATGTGAACGAATAAAAGAATCGAACCTGGCATTTATTAACCACCCCAGACGTTACGTCAAATTCCACAAAGAGGAAATAACAGAGAAATCCACAGCCTTTGACCTGGCAAGGTTAGTAAAGACTTACCACGAAGGGATTTCGAGCAGAAATAAGGATATTACGCTCAGCTTTTACACTCTCAACAGCATTCTTACGAATCATGTCTGCCTTCCTTAGAACCTGTGAAAAGGCAAACAGGGCAAGAGGCACATATAAACCTTAGTCAAATTTATAATGAAAATTAGGGACAAAAGATTCGACAGCTCTAGAAAGTAAATTTACTACTACATAAAAGACAGAATCTTATATAAAATGCATCAACTACTCTATGAGAAGACATCGAACTTGTAAAATTGCTAAACTTTCCAAATACATAAAATGTTCTTACCAGAAAATACAAAAAACGAAAACAAAAATTACTGACGACCATACTGTGGTAGTAATTACAGACTAACAGCTTAACAAAGACCGTGTAGTGAAGCTCAGCCAAACGCGAATATAAAGCACCTTGATAGCAAATAGATCTCCAGTTGTGCATTTCCTGGCTAAAAACACCCGCCCAAATGCACCTCTGCTTATAGGTTTAATGATCTCAAAATCATCTATTGTGGTGCGATCCTTATACGATAGGTGAACGGGAGTAGACTTAAAACTATGGAATGTATCATCTTCGAGAATCTCCTCTTCTCCAGCACTGCTTGCAGCCTCTACAGCATTCGGGTCAAGGATTTCAAGGAATTTATGGTACTTCTCCCTGGCAGAAACGTTAATAAAAGTTCAGCATCAGTTCCTCATTCAGTGCAGGATGATAAAGAAAGACTTGGTAGGACCACCTTAATGGGAAAAATGTAAGAAGAGAAGGTTACATTTGTAACTTACGAATTTACTAGGTACCACATTCTTCACAAGTGCAGGATACACGATTTCGTTATCTTAAGAGGCACTTCCCAAAATAAAACTTCCTTGTGATTAGCAGATGGAAGACCAGGAAAAGTAATGAAAGACTTACATGCAAAGCTTCTCTATTCGCTTTCCAAAAGTAGCGACAGCTAGTGCCTCGACCTTGTTACAGCGCAGAACGTCTTGCAAGTCATGCAAACATGACACTATATACTCAGCGCCGTTATCAGCACCGCCTTCTTTCGGCTGAGCACCAGCTATACATCTGGCTATATCAGCAAGCTCGTTTAGCTGCAATGTCCCAATCAATTCTTCAATTCAGTGAATATCCTAAGCAAGGTGATCGTAGTAAAAATAAACATATCACCAAAGTCAAGTCAACAAACATTCTAATATATTTCAAAATTGAAAACTACAAAAAAGAAATTATACGGATTGCAAACCTGTAAAGTATCATCAACCTCGCTGAAATTGTTTCGATCTGAAAGTAATAAGTCAATCTGGCTTATCCGCGGTGTGGTAAGTGGAGAGCGGGGAGTCAGACTTCCAGCTGACGAGGCTGGACCTAGAACACTTCCATTGGATGAAGAAGTTGGAATAAATGATTGTTCAACCTTCGGACCGAATCGCGTCTTACAAGTAATTGCGTTGAAACTCCTATTATCATCACCTATGCTAGCAGCAACGATCTCATGAAGGTCTTCCAACATTTCTTCAGACCCTCGTCTTAGAAGCTCACCCCTGACTTTATCGTTGAGTGCAGAGGAGGAGTTGCATCGTTCTGACAAACCTCCATCTGAGCTACAGCCTCCGTTATTGGGGCTATATGTTTTCGCAGTCTCAGGACTACCACCAGCAACCATGCTGAAGCTTTTGGGTGTGAACGATTCAGCCATTCTCTCTAAAGTTTCCGCTATTCTTCGTAAACGATCATCAACATCAAGCCCTTGCTGATCACATCTGTAAACAAAAAACAAGAATTCAAAACTTTGAATAATCCAAGCTTGATGTGTATTGCACTTGTCTGTGCGTTCCTGGCATCATTAAGAAATTTAGCATACCCTACAAACTAAATATTTGAACAGTCAACAAACAGAAAGAGAAAGACGAAAGAAATGTGTAAGAACTCAACCTGTCAGCCAAGGCACACACTCTAGAATGTTCCTCCAAGCGTGACGTTGCAACCTCATCTTCGCATATCCTGCAAATAAAATCTAGGTTGTCATCTAAAACTTCAGTTTGATACGTCCAATGACCCCATGAAACTCGCTGGTGCCTCTTTGAGGAAGGCATACGGTGCGCCTCTTTTAACGACGCGCTGGTTCTGATACCTTCATGGGCATTTGACTGCGGGCTTCCGGATTTTTTATATACATCTGAACCTATTTCAGTCTCAATGTTTGATACCGCTCCATGCGGTTCCAGTTCGTTTGGTGGAGCAATAGTGAAATTTTTCCAACTTGCTAGCGGATCAGCCACGAGGGAATGAACTGGACTTACAGAACCACCTGGTATTTTCATAGTGGACTCTTCCCCCAATTCCACTTCTTGTTCTGTAACGTCGGAAAAAGCAGAAGTTCCTGAAGTGGTAGCTTCATCGTAAACTCTTTTCCCTGGAGATTTGGAGGCTCCATCCTGAATATGAGGCTTCGAAGATGCATTGAGCCTGGGGTTTTTACCAACGTTTAGGAGAGCTTTTCCTTTCTCTTTCCAGCCAATCACGGTACTCCAGCTTCCCATAGAAGAGCCACCTTTAGCCTGCTGCTGAAGCCTGTGAAGCTCGTCCTCATCTAAACCGTTCTCTTTTTCAAACTGAAGGAGACGTGTGCAACGAGTGAGTATGAAGAGCATCCGTGTATGTAGCCTTTTCAGGATGCCCATAGGAAGTTCTTGCCGTTTGTCATCCAACTCCTGGACGATTGCTTCACACTGCCTCCGAAATACTTGGGGATCCATGAGGGCATATTCGCGAGCCAATACTAGCAAGTCTTCTATCCTCTCTTCGTGATACGGATCCATATCAGAACAACTTTCAAGTACTTCCACCAGGTCCCCAGCAAAAACTGCCAATTCTGCATTCACTTCATCCTTCGCTGTATGAAAACGTGCTCCAAGAGCTGCCATAACCTCCTGCGATCCAAGATACCAAACATCTTCCTTTATGTTTGGATCACAAAATAGCATTTAAATGAGCTTATTAATGAATTTTTCTCAAACCAAATTTTCATAATTCCCGAGCACGAACAATATTAAACGAAAAATGAAATTAAAGATGAGGAAGGAAAAAAAAAAAAAAAAAAAAAAAAAAAAAAAAAAAAACACACACACACATACCTCCAATTCATGCAGGTTGTGAGGCCGCGGAAACTCGTAAGATCTCATACCCCGAGGGTCGAGTTCATGTGAGAAGCTCTTGATGTCAGTTGTTTTTCCTTTCCGTGGACCGCCAGTCATGCGCAGCAGTGCTTGAAATCTGGGCGACTCGATCTCCTTCGGAAGATCGGTCTGAAATAGCAGACTCTATTCAGCTCAGACAACATATGATAGAATTCACAGCTTTACCGACTTGTACAGAACAAAATCCATTCCAAAGTGGAACTATAAATCAACGCAAGTTGCACAATTCTAATGAGCCCTACATTAAGTCTGTTGCATGCCAACAATACAATTCAAAACAGAGTGCATTCATCATACCATAGTAACCTAGCGAGAGTTACACTATTCCAAGAAAACCATCGAATTGAACATACCTCGATATCTTGCATCATTAGATCACAACATCTGACCGCCTCTCCGTTGACTTTAGAGAGCCCACGAGATCTTGATTCATCGATAAACGGATCTACTTTCAAAACACCAACAAAACTGTGAGAAAAACAAGGGTACTACGAACATCCGTTTGACATACACTGAAGGACCTGCAAATCCAAAATTATCTATGATCGAACACACGCGAATCGTACCTTCAGTCGGTCGCATATCGACCACAACAGACACTTTCCTATCATGAGGCTATGGAGTTCCAAATCACGTTAACTTCAACTCGCACTTTATTACTATCCCCACAGCCAATGAGGAGGAAGGCATGCAAGCTAACATTGAGGAAGAGACACGCTACCTGCAGGGACGCTTCGCGCATGCTGAAACCCTACAAAGCTTCCTCGCATGGAATTCCTTCCGATTGAACCAGTGTCGAAATTGCTATCGATATCTACCAGACTACTAGCTGACCCTGGCTGTGAGACCTGACCAGTTGAAACTTCGTTCCTCGTACTCCCACTAGGCGATATGGCATCTTCGGATGAATGATTTGTTTCTGACAAGTATCTATCTGCAAGTTTACCACTGCCCAAGCCCAAATTCGAAACCGGAACAAATAGGGGACCAGAACTCCCTTCCGTGCTGCAGCTCGAAAGCACTTCCCTCGACTCTGCTTCCAAACATCTTCGTCCTCTACAATTGCTACCACCTTCTGTAAATGAGTCCTTGGGTGAAACAGAGTCCCTTGCGTGAACTTTTGCAGCTTTCGCAGCTTTTCGAACACCTGGCGAACAAGATGAGTAATCCTTCCCAGGCACTTCCTCACTTTTCTCGTTTCCAATATTAAATCTGCTCTGAAGAGTACCTGCGAAGACTGGACCGGATCGTGTGCTGGTAGTATACAAAGGTCCAGAGCGCGTCTTGATACGATTTAACCCCAACGCGGAGCCAAATTCGTTGCTTAAAAATGAGGTCAACTCCGCCTTTGAATCACCGGGGTTAGTCTGGACCTTCCCTGGAGCAGATGTTCGCCTACCCTTCTCGACCTTTTCACCGCTTCCTCTGCTGGAGTCGTCTTTGCTCCAGCTAAACAGCCTCGCCGAACTCCATTTCTCACCCGCATCTTTCTTGACACCATTCGTAAGGGCATCTTCATCTGTTCCCTTACTCACCTCATTCTCCTCTGCTCCTTTCTTGTTCTTATTTCCTTCCTTGCCACCAGCGTCTTTCTTTTTCCCGATATCCTTAGAAACAATCGAACCTATCACCACTCTTCCAAACGGCCCCATGGGGATGGAGTTCAAGAAACCATCCAGCGGCTTGAGTTTCCGCAAAGTTGTTATCTCATGAAACCAGTGAGGTGTAGTTTACCTCCGTATGGTGGCCTCAATAAGATGATATGACTACATTACCATGTCACAAGCTAGTTGTTGACGCTCCCACATAGGTTAAAGGGTGGAGTGCCACAAGGAATAGAGGCTGCTGAAACAGCGCATGCCAGCTCCCAAATCAGAAATCCTTACTTGTCAATATCAAAAGATAACTCGCCAAACGGCAGCATGCATAGGGATGAGAAGGCCTTATAGGTTCTAATATAGCACACAAGCAAACGCCTCGATAGACACCCAGCCTTGACCACGTGACACAGACAAGGGGGAAACTGATCCTTCTAAGGAAATCCTTGCCACATCTTCCTCTAAATTCTTCTTTCATCACCCATGCTGTACAAGAGTGAACCTGCAAACCAACAGCAGGAGGATGGAAATGTCAAAAAGTGAACTCTTAATGATAGAAGAAACCAAGGTAAAGATTGTACAAGAAACGGAAGTGGAGGAGAAGAGAGGAAAAGAACAGACTGCTTCAGGCGGAGTAAGTTAAGCTGTACCTCGAAACGCCAGGGAACAGTTAATTAGGCAGCCTACCAAGAGAATTACAGATTCAAGGCTTTAAAATAGTACCAGGGACAAGAGAAGAAGCTGAGTTATAAGAAAAGAGACACTCGTAACTAAAACTCTTTCAAAAAATCAGGTAGCCCCCAAAGCAGCGGAACAGTATGAACAGCGATGTCTCGGCGAATTATTTGATGCGCGGAGTTGAATGAAAAGTTCGAAAGAAAGGCAACTTATTAAGGCGCATGAGTGAGAATTGCTTGTTGAACGTAACGTCTTCGAGATAGACCAGAGATCAAACCGCCGAAACTCACTCGCTCGCTCGCTCGCTCGCTCAAGCTCTCTCTCTCTCTCTCTCTCTCTCTCTCGTGCCTCTCAGCCTTCTTGATCTCAAAAGCATCACTCAACCATTTTCGTTTTCTGTTTGTGCCAAATTGAACGAAGGCAAGCAGTTCCTAAACTCCGACTCAAACCGAACTCAGAAGCCCTGTAATCGTTAAAAGTGGGCTCTGATGCCTGAAAGAATAGACGCGTCTGCAATCATGTTTCATGTCTACTCTTCGAGAATAATCACAATTACGTTACTTCTGCAGTGATTGCCTACTCCAGCAACTAATACCGTTACACACATACACAGGAGAGACGGTTACGTTAATAGCGCGTTGGAAACTCACTCGCCTCGGTCTGCCCTGCAAGCGTTCTGAGAGAGACTTGTACCCTGGCCAGGCCGTATCAGTACCAAAGTAATCTTGATAAGTTCAAAGACGATACCGATACTGTTCTTCAACAAATTAACGACCAATCTGTTCTCAAGCTAGGCGTTGTAAAATTAAGACCACGCTGCAGGCGCACAATTCCGGACTATCCCACTCTGTTCAGAGGCACAATCTCCTACTTCCGCCTGACTAATTTAAACCGCAATTCTTCTGCTTCCTTCAATTTCAAAAAGAAACAAAATACAAATCCCAGCCTCACACAGCCAAATACAAAGACAACTATCTCACGAACAAATTAAAAGATCAGCAATCGCTCTCATCCTGGGTTCCGTTCCACGATTTGATCCCCTACGCTGATATGAAACCTTGACCGACCTTCACCAAGCTCTTCTCCGCAACGTTCTCCTTCATATAATTTTCACTGATTAGCCCCGACTCTCATCAATCGCAAATTTGCGTCAAACAAAGCAAGTAGCGAACGAGCATACGCTCGTGGAGCACCAAGGTCACCTTAACGAATCCCCTCATCATTTCTTCATACTACATGCCATGCCTCTCCATGTAACTTCCGCACCTCCCTATCCACCTTCAAGTTAATACACCCTGGAACGACTCTACAACACAAGACCTCGAGGACTTCAATCAACCGCCTCAATTTTGCAGTCCGAGTCAACTCTCCTCCCAATCTCCCCCTGACTCTTTCCTCAGACGCTCTTCCCCGAACCGCAACCCCATTCAACCAAAGAGCAGGAAAATCGAACAGTCCGCCACCTTCCAATTCCTACGTTCCCACCCACAACTGCTGCCACGCCTCCTCCTCCTCCTCCTCGCTGCAACTCTCTCCCTTCCCTACACCTCTACCTATCGCCCGCCTCAACTGCTTCCCATTGCAGTCACTCGCTCCGTCCTCCCATTCTTCCGATTGAACAACGTACGGCACCATACCATTGCAATCCAATTCGCCGCGACACCTCTTCCTCAGTTCCTCCTCTCACCTCACCCCTAACACGACACCACCATCTCCACCTCCGCCTACCGAAAGAGGAAAAAAAGGAGAAAAAAAAACTAAAGAAAAAATAAATAAATAAATAGCGAGTAAATTATTCTTGCTTACCGTGTCTGCCCTTACGGCGACCAATTGGCAAGTTAAACATAGGTTAAATAAGAGAAGAAATATGCGATCAAAACAATGGAAAGGGAAGAAAGGTCGGCTCGCACCTACGAACACCTGCGGTAACCAGGAAGATGAGCGAGAGCATCAAGAGAAGCCATCGACGCAACTTGGCGATTATAAAATTCAGGAGAAAAGAATGATACAGAAACAATACCAGGCAAGGCCGAGGCTAGGTGAGGTGCGCCATAGCCTTCGACAAATAGAAACCGGGAAATCAGGCACCATCGGAAGAAGAAGCAAAACTGTCTACCAAGCCCTAACTTCACATGAGGACTTTCATTTGCGTTGAAAGGATGCGTTTGGTCAGTTGGGTCCATGGATGAAATGTGTCTTCGAGCAGATTGAGGGCCTGGGTTTGGTTTCCCCTTGGCTAGTGCTGATTATTAGTTGATGGAGTTGCGTTAATGTAGGGGGTCCTAATTTAGATATAGAAGCCAAAAGGATTCACTGCAGGGTGATGGTTATCTTGTTGCTACAAATAGCAACTGATAATTCCCATTTCGCTGATGGCGGAAACAAGATCGGAGTTCATTGCAACGTGATAAAAATGGGGGTGTCAGTGATCTTTCTAGGGAATTCAAGGGTGAGTGAGCCCCTTGTGAACCCCGGACCTTTTTGTAATTATCTGTGTAAGTAAATGTTGAGTATCATTTCATTTCATAGATAACGCTTTCGATCCATCCAGTTGCGGACTGTTTTGGTGTTTCAGAGCAATAGCTACCGAATACCTCACCGGGATATGGATCCATGTGTACATTTTTGCATTTCTAGATTTTGTCGTGTGATGTAATTGCTCAAAATTGATTGTTAGAAAAAAGAACTAGTTGTCTCTAGAGTTTGAGAGCCTAAATATCATGACCAATCAATCAATCATCTCAACAGTGTGAGCGTGTTTTCTTTCATACACAGAAAGAAAGAAAACAAAGTATATGTGTTAGTTTTTAATTATTAATGTTGTATTATATTCAACGTTGCAAACTTGGATAAAAATATTAATAATGGGTAGATACTTCAGCACTAGAACTTGCACACCACTCCTGCAGAGAAATCTAGTCATGCCACAATGTGAAAAGCTAACATCCTTCTTCCTGTGTGCTAAAAAGCAGTGTTTGCTTTTTACAAACGATGCATATGGTAAATGACAATATTTAAAGTCAACTACATTTTCAACCAAGTACTAAAAAGGGCTGGCTACAGAATCAAATGGGTTTACATGAAATGTGGCATGATACACCAGGGCTAGACCAAAGTGTACCAAGTTGTTAAGGCTTTAGCCTACCATTGTCCATGTCAACAAGCCTTGAGAAGAGCAAGGAAAGCATTCCAAATCAGCAACCACACACACACACACAAACACACAAATATGTATAAATATAAATATATATATATATAGATGTGTGTGTGTGAATTTGTGTGAATGTGGCACACCAAATCAACCAAACCCCTAATACTGCACCTATTTCAAATAAACAAACGAGAAGCCCCACATTCCAAGCACAGCTCTTTTTAACAAGTCAACAACCATTGGTTACAGTTCCATCAAAGTTTCACAAAACCATTGGACACGAAGCACCCAATTTTTTGCAACAGAAGGAATGCTGTTCTCCAAATACGTGGAATCGGAACGGAACCCATGAGCCACACAAGAAATATTGTCACTCGTGGCGCACAACAAAAGGCTTAGATCATCTGGGTCCAACACTTGGTGGCTGAATCCTTCGGTGGATTGGAATATTACATGGAACATTCCCGTCGTCTCTCGCTCTCCTAGCTTCACTAAGTTAAGGAGGGTCACCAGAAGTTAGCAGGCAGCCAGCCAAAGCTGGCGGCTCCACTGCACTCCGTGTTAGAGAAATGCGGATGGCCACACCTGGATCATGCCGATGCCCCTCCTTATTGGGTGGAGCCACCGGCATACTTATGGGCTGCTAATCTCGCTTGGCTTAAGGGACACGAGGAGATTATCCACAACGCTAATCCACAGTCCTGCGTTTTGTATCCATTCCTTCATTACTCCCACACTAGATGAACCCGTGTAGTTGTCACGGAAAGTTTGACTCAAATGAAGCTATTTTTGTGAGCCAAAGAATACAATACAAATAGAAAGAAAAAAATTACATAATGGAGCTTTCATGTATGAAGTAGGATAAATAAATCCATGTTGTTATTACGAATAAAAACTATAAAAAAAATAACTGTTTCTGAAAAATTCTTTAAAATAAAAAATAATCAAAATAATAAAACTAAAAATAATTTAAAATAATAATATTATAATAATAAAATTATAATAAAATAAAATATTCTCTTAAAAATAAATATTATAAATTTTAAATATTAAAATATTATAAATAATAAATATTTTTTGAAAATAATAAAATTCAAAAATCCAATTTTATGTACACAACTTCAGTCCAATCTACATTATACCAATCCAACAACAAATCCAAACATCAAAAAAAAAAACACTCAGACAGTCAAAAAGCTAAACAAAAACACAAAAACAAAGCACTATATCATAAATCCAATAAAATACACAATAGAGCTTTCAGGTATGAAGTAGGATAAGTAAACCCGTGCCGTTGTCACGGATAATATACAAAAAAAAGTAGTTAATTTTGTTTAAAGAACTACTTATGAAAATATTATAAAAAAAAAAAAACATTAAATTATAAAACATTAAATCATAAAATTATGTTAAGACAATCAAAGATGTATCAAAGTCAATAAATCAATAAATTAAAATATAAAATATAAAAATAAATTACTAATATTTATATAATTAAAACTTCTAGAAAAACAATATTCAGTGTGGAATTTAAATTATCATTTCTAGGAAGAAGAATCTTGATAGAATGGCAGGAAGTGCATCGAGATAGTGCTACATAAAGTTGATTATGGGAAAAAATATGTTGTCGTAGATCCAAACTAACATGCTTAACTGATTGCCTTTGGGATTTGTTTATTGTTATTGCAAATGGAAGACGGATTTGAAATTACTTTTTCTTTAGAATAAACGAAAGTTCTTTTATTGTAGAAGTCAATATAATCCTCGGAATAAACACCAAGTTTTTAGCAAATTTTTCTCCAATAATTCTTGCTTCAAGAACTCGATTCATTAGTCATGTAATTATCAATTGAGTTCCATTGCAAAGTCTTTGGCGAGGAGCAATATTTCTTAGTAGCATCACTAGAGTCTCAATCTTAAGACAAAGCTTTGATATGGGCATTCCAGATGAATTAAGTAACTTCATGAATTTTATTGGATAAACATTATTGTTGTCAACACCATCTTCAACAATAATTTCATCAACACTTAGATATTCTTATTCTTCTCTAGAAAATATAATCATAATCTTTTCATTAATATCCTCTATATCATCATTTTGTGTAGATAAAATGATTCTATTTCTAAAGAAAGCATCATTTGCTACATCATCTTTTGCTAGCCTTGAATAAACAATATCCACCAAAGACATTAATTGTTGATCAACAATCATATGATTGGGAAGCTTAACTACATGATCGGGCATTAAGTTTGTATCATTTCCAATCTAGCAAGTAGCAAATAGAAATATTAGTCAATAATAATGCAACCATAAAGAATTCAAATGCACCACCATTTATATATATATAATGCGTGTGTGCATTCTATACCTAAAGAAGCAAATTAATAAACTCAATATCTGCTTAAAGTGCTTTTGAATTCGACCTCATGTTTTCTTTGAATATATAGATTTTTATTTGAGGCCAAAGTATTGAACGTTGAAAAGATGCTGCTATAATTTCTTCTTGAGTTCCTTTCACAATCACTAGCAATATTTGGCAAAAATCTCTACCAAAAACTATTGTAGCTCCTCCAAATGGGTGATCAGTATCCCGAATGTCTCTAAAAGAAGAATCAATTGCCTCAGGACAATAACAATGTTGCATTGGAAGTTCATCCCAAATAATAAGGAAAGTTTGGCGAATAAACTCAGCGTGGTGAAAATTCTTAGTAATTGAACAAAAAGAATCTTCATTGCAATCTAATAGAACCTTGAATGCAGAATGGACAATTCTTCCTCCTTCAAGTAGCAATGCCGCAATTCCTAATGATGCAACATATATGACAATCTTTTGCATCAATTGAACTTTAGTCGTGAAAGTATTGTAGACAAATATCTTACAAGTTCTTGCATGTCCGTTTAAAAAAAACATGTATCCATGTTCTTCTATTATAGAGGCCACAATATCATCATATATCTTTCTTTCTTCAAGATTCAATTGGGGAACATATTGCATCAAATTTGCTTCTAATTCTTGAATGTTCCATGCTCTTACTTCAACAATAAATCAATTTCTATTAACTATTGCATTCTAATTGTATCTTAGTAATGGCATTGGAGAAAACCATGCAAGCGTTCTATTGGAATCGTGCAAAATCTTATCAAGCAAAAAAAGTCCATAATCCTTAATTTGTTCTTTCGATAGATTTTTAATTCCATGTTCTCTTTGCAAACGGGCATTGAAATCATCCAAGATGCTTTTCCTAAATCTTTTCTATAGATTTAATGGATTTAGCAAATTTTGGTGCAATAGCAAAACAACAAACAACGCCCTTAATTGAGATCCAGTTTATATTCTTGATGCTTCTTCCAAACATTTTTGGGACTCTCATAATCTTCAAGCAATCCTAAAGCTGCAAATGCACTTTCAAATGTTGGATGGAAAATCCCATGAATAGTCTTTAAGTGCTCAAATGATTGTGGATCTTTAACGTGGATTAACAGAAGCCTCAAATAATATCTTTCTCCCATTGTACGATTTGCAAAATATAATCTTTCAATAGTAAATCCACATTTTTTTAACGTCCACATCTTTCTTGTCTTATGTCAAATAAAATGTT